CAGTGGAATCCACGACGCGCGTTTCGTCCTATTTTGGACTCGTCAGCTAGATTTACCTGCACTCAGAGTTGATGTTCACTCTAGGACTCGAATCCAGTACCGTTCACTTCAAACGCCATCACGTTATCCATTCAGCTATTGAGTCCTGATAGTCACTTGCTTGTGCAATGGCGTGAAGTTTAAATTCACTTGGTATTGTTTGTTTGATCAATTGAAGTTCTGAACATCAATTGGAAGATTCAAACAAACAATACCAAGGGAATAACAAAGTTTTGGTTTTATAAAATTTATTTATGTCGGTAAAATGGATTTTAAAATGTTTATATATTTCAAGCTCTGGACAATGTGTGTTTAAATAAAATATAAATAACATTTTTGTTCATTTTATGGGCTATTGAAATATACAATTCAATGTAAATATTTTAAAAAAAACCTAATTTTAATCATCATTCCAATAACTGATTCTAGTTTATTTGAAACATGGAAAGTAATCAAATGTCCTTCATCTATTATGATCTTTATATGTTATCTGAATAGTAAAGTAAGATTTTCCAATAATATAAACTCACTGTTTGAAACTTCATTCATCGTCTATGGCTATTAGAACTCGGTAGCTGAGTAGATAACGTGATGGAGTTTGAAGCGACTGGTACTGGGTTCGAGTCCCTGAGTGAACATAAACTCTGAGATGCAAGTAAGTCTAGCTGACGAGTCCTAAATAGGACAAAACGCGCTTTCTGGATTCCACTGTAAGCCATTGTCCATTTTTGCCTATAAAGCTTCATTCATCGTTATTCAAAAACATATACTTTAATGTTATTAGAGTTTCAGTACCCATAAACTATAGAAAGTAAGAACAAATACTAAAAACTGCATAATAAACACGATGGTTAAATGTTCATTTATTTTTGATATGATAGATTTGTGTAGATTGTTCAGTCCGAAGACAGATTTCATTATATTCTGAGTTTAGCTGGATAACTACTAAAACGATGGCATTAATTTACATCTATTTTGTTCTCATTGATAAAGAAGCATTTACTCTCCAGTCAATTCATACTAAATTAGGGATCTAAAACTATTGCCTAGGGTTTAGTTGTGGTCTGTGATCTCAGTTATTTTCAATATTTATTTAGATGATTTATTAGTTTATACATATACTCCAAACAAAGTATTACTGCATACAAAAAAATAAATAAAATAACAAAAAAATAAAAATGAAAGTGAGTGGATTACAAGATTTCAGTAAGACACAAACAAATACAGAATGTGAAAAAACTGAGATATCAGTTTATAATATTTGATCATTATGCAATTGACAGTGTCATCCTTTCCTGATTTCAATACCACTTAACGTCCTCCTGACGACTGACAGTTGCTAACCACTAAGTCATAACGATGTTCATTTTTGCTAAAATAATATAGTGCATTCATCTTTCATATGTTGAAATATTTGAAGCGTATTTAAATCACGACTTATATCAAAAACTTAATATTGGAATTATTACAGAGCAAACAGTTATCTAGTACGAATCAATAACTTAGTTTTCAAGGAAATCCCTTGGTTTAATTTTCGTAAGGACATAATTAGACATTCGTTTTCCATGAAAAATAAATCAACATCTCAGATAAACCTGAGAGTTTTAGAATCAACTTCATACCCATATAAAATATTTCTTTATTATATATAAAATTATCGTACTTCTAAAACTAAAAGTTAAATAAATGCCAGTGTACTAAACTTATAAACATAATAAAGTGACAATAATGAAAGTAACCTACGATATCATTCAAGAATTGCTGAAGATAGTTCAGCGAAGAAAATTTTGTTTTTGACATTGTCATTTACTCAAGCTGTACAATCGTATTTGTGGGTACTTACTTACTTACACATGTTACTCTCAATGGAGCATAGGTCGTCGACCAGCATTCTCACTTTCTAGTTATAACCAGTTGTCGTTCATTCTTCTCATGTCTGTCTCCATTTCTCGGCGTAATGTGTTCTTTGATCTTCTTCTTCTCCTTTGGCCTCCAAGATTCCATGTGAGGGCTTGTCTTGTGACGCAATCGGGTGATCTCCTCAAAATGTGTCCTATCCACTTCCAGCGCTTCTATCTGATTTCTTCCCTCACAGGAATCTAGTTTGTTGACTCCCACAGTAACTTGATGCTCACAGTGTCTTGCCAACAGATCCGAAGTATTTTGCGCAGACAGCTGTTAATAAACACTTGTATCTTCTGGATAATGTCTTTCGTAGTTCTCCACGTCTCCGCCCCATACAGAAGAACTGTCTTGACATTTGTATTGAAAATTTTAACCTTGGTGTTGGTTGACAACTGTTTTGAGCTCCAGATGTTATTCAGTTGTAAATATGCTGCTCTGGCTTTGCCGATCCGCGCCCTCACATCTGCACCTGATCCACCGTGTTCATCAATGATGCTGCTCAGATATGTAAAGGTTTTCACATTCTCCAAAGCTGATACGTCAAGTGTAATTTGATTGGTGCATGTTGTATTGTATCGGAGAGTCTTGCTTTTCCCTTTGTTTATATTGAGACCTATTGCTGCTGAGGCTGCTGCTACACTGGTCGTTTTCTCCTGCATTTGTTGTTGCATTTGTGATAGAAGAGCCAGATCATCCGCGAAGTCTAAGTTGTCCAGCTGCATCCTGCCTGTCAATTGTATCCTGTGCTTTCCTCCAGATCCTTCACTTCATACATCAGATCTCTGTTAACTGACTTAATAAACATGGTAAGTTTGTAAAGACTCTGTCTAGTTTCATAAATGTTTTGACATCCTCCATAGTAAACATAGTCTTAAGATCATAATACAATTCTTTATATAATTATATAGTACTGAATGTTGAACGTCTGCTGAGAAGACTATTTTCACTAAGCAACACAATGATGGTTTACACTTTATTTGCTTTAATTAGTTAGTGGATGTGCTGTTTACTCCAGGCTATCCAGCTGTACAAAAAGCTTTCCGTTCGTATTTCAAACGGAAAGGCTAATGTAAAAAGACTTTAATTTCCTAACATAATAAGCTCCAGTTTTCTTTCAAATATATAAATAACAGGAAATGTGAATTTAGATTTATTAAAGAAAATCAAGCTTCTTGAAAAGTACCGTTAGTTGGAACTCAACTTAAGAGACAAAGTATTTTAATAACATGATTGACATTTCCGTAAACAATGTTGACTAGTAGATAAAAGTATTTTAAGATACTATTTACGATCGATTTACTAATTGTATAGAACTAAATAGGAATTTTTTCTAATGTGAGTAATTTGCACAAGAGTATGTACCAATGTGTATTATAGTAGAAATCCTTATTAACGACCATTTAAATATTTTTTTTCCAAAATCGATCAGACATTTATGAAAGGTATTATTTAAAGTGTTTCACAAATAGTGTCGGTGAGTATAGGCTGAGAAAGTGATTTAAATGCTTCAGATTAACTTCTATACAAATAACACCTTGATGAACTCGGCTATGGGACACACTATTATAATTAAGGTATATTAAACACAATTTAAAGCATTGTCAGCTATGCTTTATTTTATAATAACTTACGACAAAATGCTATAACGAGACAATCCGCCTTGAATTTAAATATCCCAATTAGGATTAATCTAATCCCAGTAAAGAATATTATCAATGAAATAATTCCATTTCTTACTGATAATGATATAGATATCGTACTCCTTCCGCATATTAGTGAGTTTTAGTAGCTCGGAAAATAACCCTTTCGCCATCTAACGTGATACGCATCCATGAGTGGGTACCAGCAGTGGAACACAATGATATCCAGGTGACTAGTCCTGTATAGTATAAACTGAGTCTTCCAAAATCCAATGCTAGCTATCATGTATTTTGTAGAATTTTAAGACATTCATTGCAATTCGAAACCCTCAAGTTTTAAAGCACCAAAAGACACAATTGAGCTCCTGTAATATACAATGATCTACTTCTTTTGAAACATGTGTTTCAGGGTACAGTAAGCTGTTTAAAAACTTTATTAATGAGTAGAGTGATGTGAACCGCGAAACAAGAAGCCTTAACAAATTACGGAAGCTATTTTTGGGGACGTTAATTCATTTAATTCTAAGCTTGTAAAACTGTAACATTTACTTTTGACCCTACTCTATTCTACAGATCATGAGCTTTCGTTTGATGTATAATTCACTGCCATAGCACTTTCTGTTCTAAAGCTATTGTCATTTAGACGTAATCTTTTGTACCCTATTTTCTACTCTAGTCCCCCAGTTGTGGACATAATTGTATTTTCCTAATTACTGTACGTTGTGGTCAGGTTATTCATCTATTTATTCATGTTACTTTACACCCTAGTCTGAATTGGGAATTCGAGTGCTAGATCGGGGTTGGAATAAAGTGATTAGTGTTCCACCTGTCTTTGTCTTCTCTCTATTCTCGTGCTTGCCAGCCAATCAGGGATAGAATAGTTTTCGTCTCTCTACCCCCACTTCGAACTCACGCATACTAGCCTTAAGCCGTTCAGCCTATCGGGTCAAGGTCTTAATCTACATTAGACAAGTCATACTCGGCACTAAAGTGGGTAGACAGATTCAAGGACGTGACAATTTGGCGACGGGGATTTCGGTAAAAAAAATGCAAGAATTGAGACGTGATTTTGGCAAAAAAAAGTACAGCAGTCGGTGACGTATTTTGTAATAAAATGACCTACGACCTTGAACAAGACATAACGATTGGCGACGGCCAGGTCAAGACATAACATAGAGAAACAAAATAATTTAGTTTGAAATATCCTATTGTACAGTATACTATAAAACGTTCCAGGAGCAGCCTAAAATTTTGCATCAGTCATAGACTATATAACATGTTAATATGCTTAAACATCTTTTACAACATTCATTCGACTGTACACTTTATTCTTATTTTTGATGACGACACAAGTAAGGAATTAAAGAATATATATATATATATATATATATATATATATATATATATATATATATATACTATACAAATTGAAGAAAACTTCATTAGATTTCCGATGAATTCACTTAATTTCCTTTCATTTATTCTCTTCTCTATTCGGTTTGTTCTTCGCAAAGGTTTTTCAACCGATAGATTTTAAACTTAATAATAATAATAATGAATAAAAACTGTTATAAAACAACATAAAGAAAGAAGAATATGTAAATGAGAAAAGAAAATAATAGCCACGGGGTATGACAATCAGCAAACAATAGGTGTGTATGTGTGTGTATATAGAAGGAAACTGAAGACAATCATAACAACATTTATGATGATCATGATGTGTTAACAACAAATACATACAAACGAAAAGTTACAGTGAAGAATAAAACAACAATGAGTAGAAGATTAAACAACCACTTCATGATATATATAAAGTAAATTTCTCACTTACTTGCATTATAAAAACATTAAAGATACATTAGGTAAACAATAATTTATTTATAAATTATAATAAAAAAATATAGATTGAAACACAAGAGAGATCATTTTAAATAAAAAATGATATCAGTAGTATTAGTAGTATATATATATATCAGTAGTATAATCATCAGTGTTTGAAAAGAATAAATCTTCATGATATAAGCCTAAAATTAGTTAAGCAAAAATAAAGCCAAAGACATTAATATATGTATATAATGTATAAATAAACACTAAAACATGAATACTGATATACTTTACTAGATAGACGATAATTGCTAACCGAACACTTACTACTTACTATGTTGCTACAACCAATTCAAGTAGTATTTTAATGTAAAACTCAATTAAAAGTTACAAATATACAAGACTTTTATTCTTTTAAAATAAATCACTGGATAAATCATTAACTTAAATAATAATAATAATGATACTGATAAATTACATTAAAAGATTTCTTCATTCTACTTTGCCAGTTTTCATCAGCTTTCATTTAATTTACGAAGAGATAAATGTTGTGTAATAGTTTATACTTGTGAATGGAACAAGAAAAGGTTGAATAAAATGAAAATGATTACTTCGAATGTGTAACACTTGCATAGCTTTTACAAGGAAACAAATTGATTATACTATTTTCGGGGAAAGATACATATAAAACGAAGAAAAACCAACGGAACATGGAGAGAGAGAGAGAGAAAGGGAGAGAAAAGGACAAGAGGACAAATATTAAACAGTCAGAATAATCTATATTTATCTTTCCAGTTTTAAAGTTAAGCTGACCCAAAAAATCACAATCCATCAACCTGAACAATAATTAAGAAATGACTGACTTTAATAAATTAAAATAATTTAATTAAAATTTGTTTGAAATAAACAAACGTATTAGTTAAAATCACTGAATATCAGTAGTATTCAGTGGTAATAGTAGTAGTGTTCATAAAAAATACAAATAATCCTCATAGTTATATATTATAATGAAAGCAAAAGAAAAAACCATGTAAGTATTCAAGAAAGAATATTAGTAGAAAATAAGAAATTATACATTTTTTAAAAAAAAATTACTGTTATGGTGTTGATGATGGAGAAATGACAGCGTTAGGTGTATCGAGATTCATTGTCACTGTTGGATCAGCTGTAGATGAATCGGCTATATCCATACGTTTATCAGATTCATATGATTTTAAACGTAGACGAGCGAAATCTTCAAAAATTAAATCGTCATCATCATCAATACCGCCACCAACATTACTGACTAAATATGTTTTACTGTTTATGTAATGATTCGTTGTGTTTTTTTAAAACAAAGGATAGAAAAAAGAAAGGAATAAATTAGTTTAAACAAAAATCCTTTTTTCACATGGTATTTATCAAAATCATGAGTTTTTTCAATAGATATGGTTCTATATTGTTATTGATCTACAAACTAAAAGATGTAAACATATCTACATACATATTCTGATAGTGTAAGTTGATCATATAATGTTTATTCTAGCTATAGTAATCCAAAAACCTAAGAGTTAAATGTCCTATCAATGATAAATATAAATCTAGTGACTGCAAAGTTCTTAGAGTGTTCTGTTTCCATCATTCCGTTATCTAAGTTACTTTCCTAGAGGCGATTCTCATTTAGGAGTACTGGACTGGAAACCAGTATGTACCAAAATTTCACTGAGCCTTATATCCAGTAACCATCATTTTAAATGCCAACCTGTCGTTTAAATCACCTACTGAGTTCAATTAGCCAATAATTTGTTCAAAAGTTATATATTTATTTCTCATTATTTATTTTTTCCTATTGTAAGTAATAAACACCGAAAATGTTTAGTCTGTGTTGGGATAAGTGTATTGTGGTATGATCACCTTGAAATGTTTATGTTACGATTTAGTATATAAAAATATTGGCACATATTCTGGTTTATTCAACAGTACTAGATAGATTGAATATCTGAATAAATGTTAAAAAATTATAAATTCTTGACTTATAAATTGATTGCAGTCAGCCAAGAAAAATCTATGAAAACCCGTTTTGTTAGTCAGTATTCATCGGAAAATTGTATCTCCCACCATTAGTAATCCAATGACCATTATACGACTCTAATATATGCCATTAATTGTCAAAGATGTTATTTTACAGATTTACAGGTCCCCAACGACGACTAGAACGAATTTTGAAGTTAAAGCAATTGCAACAAAAGAACCAACATAATATTTTGAATGATTAGACTTAAAACATATGAACATCAGACTATCACCGATTTACAACTATTGTGTCATTAAGGTATTTTATCTCCAACAAAGGTTTATTATTATCAGAATGCCAAAACAACGTTCATTTGACACAATGCCTTAAATAATCACCGTTAAACTTCATGAGATTGGTTGTTTTCCTAGGGTTGTATTTTGTACTGTTATATCCCCCGGTGAATTACGAGTGGTAACTTTTAGGTCTATTTATGGATCAATGTAACATGCCTATTTCCTATTGTACAATTATTACGTAACTGAACTATTCATATTTGTATTTCTCTTATCATTAGCTTTATTTTGACCTTTGACTTATTATCATACGATTCTTGAGTTATAATCAGTTTACTGATTACTTTGGTTTGTATAAAACCCCAGTGTGTTTGTAAATAATGATTCATATTGCCGAGGCTGTTATTTGTGTTCTGGACTCAACTGGCTGGGCTAGGCATATAGCAGGACCGAGTAGTAAACAAGACTGCTCGTACGATTTCAACTATCATTGCGCCGATCAGTAAAATCCACTACCTCTCTAATTGCACGTTTATATATATTAAGAGGGCATACGTTATAACATATGCAAACTTAAAAAAGCATACGACAATTTCACATCATCTGGGCTCAGAAATGTATGAAGTTATGATATATCAGTTTCTCGATGACAAAAAAAATCTGTCATAATAATCTTCATTGTGCAATAGGTACGCATGTTTGTTACCAGATTATAACATTTTTGATCAATAATTCCTCTATTCTCCTCTCCTTACTGCACACTTACAGACACGTGCAGAGATCCAAACAATTCAAATACATATTCACACTCACACAAAATACTTATCCTATAGATAGTACGCTAGCTAACTACCAATAAAATGATAATAAATTCATTGCAACTATATTTTCAAGTAATGCATTTAATGTCAAGCGTAGTTGTTCAAGTGAAAAAGATAAATCACTTAATTGAAATCAACTGTACATATGTAATATAACTGGAAACCAAGGGAAATATTGACGTTTAAATATTGAATTTCATGTTGTTGTTTTTTAAAAAAGGGAAAAAATTATCCTAACACTTTCTATCCTATCTGAACAAAATAAAAGATATTGAAAAGTTACTCTCAGCTCTAAGTTTTCTAAAGAAAAACTCTTGTTCAAATATGATTTGTTAAGATGAAGAGAGTGAATAAATATGGTTAACCAGCTTGAATCAATAAATTTGCAGTTGGTTTAATTACAAGATATTGAAGTCATATAAGGAATTTTATAGATAATCAGATTGTTATATTCAACTAGAAATAAATACCTCACAGTATTCATTCACTCAATTATCATGTGTTTAATGTACATTGGACTTAAACAAACACAATACACAAATACACACATTTATTAGTTTTACTAACAACTACAATACCACGTGGTTAGAAAGTGTGACTTTTTAGTCTCTTTGTGATAAACTATTGATCAATATGATATGATGTAATCTGTGCAAAAAGAAATATACCATAAATTATAAGATTGTGCAATAAGATTACTTCGACTATTTAACTTGAAATTTATGTTTTTTTAAAGAAAAAAACAACATCAAACGTATTTTCAGTTCTTCTTATTAGTTGGAAATAATTATAATATTTGATGTGCTTTTTAGAAATATTTCATTATTCTATACTTGCTTCAAAAAATAATCCGACTATTTAAATATTCAAAACACCTGATAAGTGACTATATGTATATTGATGGAGTTTGTTCTCTGAGCTGGATGGTTTGGTCGTGGAGCTTTCATCGTTCTTCTGAACGACATCATCAGCACAAACTTTGGGTATAAGTGAAGTGTTCGAATTTCTCCACATGTGGTTCACAGCTTGTCCTGTACACCTCCATGTTGATTGGTTCTTATTCGCCTTAAATCTATCATTGTTTACTTCTTTGTTTTGGTTGTATCTCCCAATGGTTTGATTTTTGTACAGGACAAGATGTGAACCACATGTGGAGAAATTCGAGCACTTCATTTCTACCCGAAGTTTTGTGCTGAAGATGTCTTTCAGAAGACCGATAAAACCTCCACAACCAAACCATCCAGCTCGGAGGAAAAAACTCTATCAAAATCATTCACCTGATCTAAAATCTTCTCCACCATCTCAAAGTGATAATATTACAGATAATTATGAGATAGACTATTTTGGTAGGAAATAAGAGTTAGTATCGGTATTAAGTCAATTATTTCTGCCAATATGAAAATAGTTTTCATTATAGATAATACCACCAACCAGTGAATTATCAGAAACCAAAGAATATTGGATAGCTAGGGTTTTGTCTTAATATATTATGTTATATACGATGCAACGAATTCTTAGTACATTAAGGTAGACAAATGTATACCAGATCAAATCGAATAGTTTGCTCGTTACTTCCAAATTAATTGGTAACTTTTTATCAAGAAAAATGGCGTATATTTTTATGGTTATATTAAATAGCCATGTTATTTAAAGATTATTGAATAAAATATTTAAACTCTTATTAATCTGTAAGTATAATAAAAATATTTTGGTTACTAAAGAACCCAACTCACTTGTCATTTATTCCATCATCCAATTTAATTAAATCATCTGTAGTATTTACATTATGATCAGATGAAACTTGCTCATTTGAATGTAACTGGGATTGTTGCAAAATATGCTGACTATTTTTTAATCTGTCATCTGTTCCAGTTAATAAAGGATGTAGAACATCATTATCATCATCAATAACTAGTTTTGATGAAGTACCATTTAATTCTGAATCAGGTTTTGGATGAGTTAGTGTGAATGGAAGCTCCACGCTGACATCACTTGGAAAAATTATAAACAGGAATTTAGTCGACGTAATAATAATAATATTATCTAAGTCATAACTGAATTAGAAAGAACTATTCTCAATCTATACAGTCATATGTTATTATCTTTTTATCTTCGATGAATAACTAAAGCTATTTTTCTACTGAATACCAGCAAGATACAAAGTGCTAATCCTTGTTTCTTAAAATGAAAACAATACATCCTCATTCGATACTTGTAAGGGTAACATGGATTTTAATAGTTGAAATAAATGTTGAAATAAATATTATTATCATCTCACATAAACAAATCATTTCAATATATAAGTAGTATATCAGTTATTGAAGAAACAAATTCAACAATGCACTCGTATCGATAGATACAGATTTCATCGTTTAAGCTCTTGTTATTATCTCAATCGATGGTTGGAGATGTGTAAATTTTGTTATGAATAGTTAGTAATCCTGATTTTATCTTCCATGATATACAGAGTTTCGGTGCCATGTTGCACATTTATATCACAACTCATTTGTCAAACCCATTATATCACCAGTATTACTGTCACTACTTACAGTAATTATATGATGTGGTAACTTGAAGCGTTTCACATATGTGTCAGTTTCTACGTTGCGTATGACTGATTGTAGTGAATGGAACATCCATTTGAAGTAAATATATGGAAATTGAGCACATAAGTACTCAACGTAAATAATTTTAAGTTACATGAAATAGGCAAACTTTTAGTAAATGGAAACTATTCTCACAGATTCATATTTAGAGTTTTGGTAGATAACTATGATACTTACGAAATAACTTTGTACAAACAATTAACTTCAACTTATCACGAAATATATAAAGTAAAAATAAGCCACGAATAATTATCGAATAAGTTATGTAAATAAAGACTATCGTTTTTATAATTTATCAATACAAAGAATACATCATTCAAAGAAAGTTCGATCGAGTTCCATTGAAAATATCAACACTTGCATACAGTTTCATCCAGTTGATGAGTCCCAAATAAAACGAAAAGTGAAAATTAAACTTTGTTGATAGTCACTATCCATCATTTCTAAGTAACTTGAGACATAATAGTTATACTGAGGCGATTTCCATGTAATCCACATATGTCAAAAAGATTAACTAAAGTGAATCCTTTACAAAATGTAGCATTTACTTTGAATAATCTAGATAATGAATGTATACTTTTGGGTTATTTTTCAACAACAAAATACCAATATTATTAATAAATCCTATAAAATTTAATTAACTTCTAGTTAATAGACCTTGAAGAAGACATAACTAACATACAGAATATTGATTTAATATCCAGATAGGTGTGATTATGAATTTCTTTCTAACTTATCACGTTATTTTCTTATGTTCCAATTATATAGTTGGCTTTTATTTCTATTATATATATGTCATAATCAATGAATATGTGACCACACTGTTCGAAATATATTATGCTAATATATCAAATAATTCTTAGAAACCTTACCTTCATAAGGAATCAATCAAGTTGAATAAAGTGATTGTTTTAGAATATATATTGAAGGAAATAGATCAGTGAATAGTTTATAAAAATTAATAAATAAAATTATATAACCTTCTCACCTTGACACGAATCCTAATACTAATCGAACTTTTACACGATATTGAACAGTCATGCCAAGATTTTCTTTATGGTTCGGATTGCATATACTGTTGGTATATAATAAAATTAAAAAGAAATCTAAATAAGAATCTACTTCAGTCAGAATTATTATGTTACAATTGAATGTGTATAATTGATAAGAGGGAAAATAAATTGCTTTTACAACTAGTGTGGTGTGGTCTACTTATATCCTCACAAGGAACACAAAAGGTGTTTAAAAAATGTTCCCAAAACTTGAGTTGACATAAGGAAACTTGATAATAAGTCTGCAGTAGCGTTACATGCGTTAGAAACGGGACACAGGATTAATTTTGAAGGGGCCAAAATACTTAATAAAGGCTTCAATATTAAGCAGAAGCGCTGTATATATGGACGAATACAAACTGCCTAAACATTAAGGATGGTATTCAGCTAGCAAGCATGTGGCAAATATTCATCAACAAGTAATTGGACCATTTCTTTCTTTATTCAACCTGTTTATTTCACATAAATTTTTATTTTGACTGAAATCAATATGAGTTAGCTTTAGCATCACAATTATGTACTTGATGAGTCTCATTTTTATTTGCAATTCAATGATTCAGAAACAACTTTTCAATCTTCTATTTTTACTTTTACTTTTACTTTATATAGAAACATATCAACATCGAATATCATTCATTAACAACTAATTCTTACACATACCTACATGCACACACAATTCATTCAATCTTATTTTATTTTATTCCACATCGTGAACTTTTCACATGATTCTCATTTAACTGACTCATATTATCCGGTTTACAAAAATTCAACATCCGAATATGATTGGTTTGACGTAGTATAGATTTTGATATGGTCGGTAAAAAAACGCTATATATTTCTTTGATGATTTTGATTTTGATTATTACCCTGAAGAAGTCCAGACAAGTTAGCTGGACGAAATGTTGGAATTATTTGAATTTCAATAGCTGAGATTATTTCAAATATAATTTTCACATATAATGATTGTTTGTAACATTATATACATTGAAATATGGACATGAATTGAACTACTAGCTACAAACTATTATAGCAGAACAAATTGTAGTTTTATTGGTCGACTTAGTTGTTTATTCATTTAAAAACTTTTATCAAAGTGCCTTGACTAGTTTGATAATTAAAACAATATTTTAGACATGCAGCGAATTTCCATGAACTGATTCGATAGATTGTTAAGTATAGTGAATTGAATAATCTCGATTATTTAGACAGGAAAGTAGTTTCAGTTTTAAAAAAATTTGAAACTCGAAAGAAGTATGTGAATTCATTCATGATACATAAATCCAAGGCCGAGTAAAACTGCACTAAAACCACTCAATATTTAGATAAATAATATCCAGCATTTAACATAGTTGACATAGTTTGAAGTTAATTTCTAAGATCTTGAGACTAACTCATTAAGAATGACTTTCAGTTATGAACAACAATTATTAGCACACAACTGTAAATGGGAAAGAATCAACAAATAGCCATGTAATGTGGTCTACTTATATCCACATAAGTAGTATATGGTGATGGTCAGACAGAATGTATTTTGGCAGGAGATCAATAAGAAACGAACAGGAATGAAGCGCAATCGGTATGAAAATGCATGAACAATAAAATGAGAGAAGATGGATTGATATTTACAGAAGGAACAGTTAAAATTGAGACAATTGATTGTCATTTTGCAAATTAACTGTTTGCTATATGGTTATCAGATCTTAGTAAGAGAGTTTGTAGTTTGTGATTAAATGCATTCAATCGTCCCTACCCGTCTTCTTGTTTACTACACCAGTATCAGATTAATGTATAACCGAAATGCACTGACATAATGATTTTACCTTAGTTAGAAAATATCTTCACCATTACGAATCAGATTGAAATAATTATAATTTTAGAGTATACAAACAGAATAATAATAATAACAATAATATTCTCAAATTATTGTTTAAAATTTTATATAGTTGAGATCATGAATCAATTGAAGCTAGACCACCGTGGAAAACATGGAAGCACTGGACGGCCGTTTCGTCCTATTGTGGGACTACTCAGCGGTGTGCATCCACGATCCCGGGTTATGTTGTTTGATTTTACTTTTGCTATTGGATTATTTATTAATAGAATATGTATAACTGCTAATTTATTTAATTAATATCATGTTCTACCATGAATTTCCAACTTAAAAAGTGTTAATAACTTTGTTTAACAAAGAATAGGATGAACTATGTTATTATAGCCATACAGATATTTAGAAATTATTGATTTTCATTAACTCATGTCATACTTTATGGTGGATGACCTATGCTGACACACGAGGCATAACAGGCGTAAGCAACTAAGTAAATAAGTGATTGCATACTTTATATGAAACAATCTAAAGCAACAACGAAAACGAATAGATAGAAGATTTATGTAAGATATTGCTTATGATAATATTTTCTAAACCAAAATATAAAAATTAAATATTTAAGGTTGATGTTGCAGCTTGTGTAGATAATGTTCTGATTAGATTGTTTTTCTTATATAATGAAATCAATTACAACTGAATACAACGTTTATTCTATGCTACGATGTTGTAAATAAACTTTTTATCTAAAACAGTGGAAATAATTACCCTACAAAGGATTAAACGTAGAGCATTCAAGTGTTAAATAGATGAAGATAATCAATATAATGCCTAGGCAGTTTAAAGTTGTCACAATAAAAACACAATATCATTGAACCATTGAGTATCTAAACAAAATCCGGTTAAAATTCAATAGTATACATTATTATTTTCAAATAAAAACACAAATAACCAAAAACTTACATTGTGGATGAAGCTAGATTAGTATCTTCATGTTTTAATTTACCATCTAATGCTAAACCACGTTTATGTCGGTTATTAGCAAGTAATGGACGTAGTTTATATACTTTACACCAACCCGTTTGACTTGGTAAAATAGGAAATGACTCACTATCAACGAAAATAATATTAAGAAGTAAACAAATGATAAATTTTGTAAATAATACTCAAAATAAATGGTTAGAAAATAATAATTAAAAAGAATTTAAACTTATCAGAATCATTCTACAAAACCGTGATAGTATTAATCAATGGTATTGCGGTATATGTTACCAATCGGTAGTGGAATGCATGCCATCAGAAGATTGAAAAGATTTAGTTGAAGAGAACAGAAACAGAAACAGAAATTAACTGTGATAATAACAGAACAGAAAGAATCATGAAGCAACTGATGGAATATGAGCAAATTATATATTGAATGTATAGTTTTCATATTTCACGAAAGCGTTCTGTAATTTTACTTTCAACAATAAATTGGCCTTCCTCACTGGAGTTCTTGTTTACTACAACAATACCAATTATAATGATGACATTAATGATAAAAGAAGAGAAGTCACATACATGCAGTGACAACATTAATTAATTATGAAAAAGATATGTATGTACACTTAATGATACTTTTTTTATCAAACGTACGATCACTGCTTTGAATTAAGGTTGAAAAATTTCAGAAGAAATTCCAATAACACATACTATGTCTAAGGTGTATTTATAATCCTAAGAGAATTTGATCATTTTCGTGGGATGAGGTCTTATGTCAGTCAGTATCATATTCACAGTGATCTTTATTCAGCCGTTTGGGCAATAACTCTCCTTTTCTAAGGATGAGATGTTGCTGAATACTAACGAACATTATATCATCTAGCCCTATTAATTGTCCGCACCACATCGATCATCCCTATGACGTGGTCAATGCTATAAGTGACTCCATGTAATAATGAGATTTCTTTGATATTAAATAATTTTATAAAAACGGTAAAAAGTAATGAAATTTGATCAGTAAGCAACGATTAACACTAAGTACTAAATAGCATAAGTGAAACTTATTTTAATAGTTGAGATTATGAATCAATTGAAGCTAGACCGCCATGGAAAACATGGAAGCACTGAACGGACGTTTCGTCCTATTGTGGGACTCCTCGGCAGTGCGCATCCAGGATCCCGCCTTGCGAAACTTGAACCCAAGACCTATCAGTCTCGAGCGCGAGCGCTTAACCTCTAGACCACTGAGCCGGCATCCAGCGGTGAAACGTATTCGTTCGAAAATTATTCTTCATAAAGTCTAATGTAGAATAATAACATTAATTGGATAGAATGACCATTTGAAAAGTCCTCAGAATAATCTAACAGTAAAAAATTTATTGTAGTGAAAGAGGGTAATTGATTTCTAAATATTTTAGGGTCTACAATGACTGTATGTTTATTTTTTAGGTTTGAATTATATATTTTGCTTCTTGATATCTAGAAACTTTACCTTAACATGTGACCAGTTCACAATACTTTTAGGCTCTTACACTAATCGCTAAGTAATCTGTTCACCTTATAACAACGTATTGATTGAATAAAACTTTTTCAACATTATTATTACATTGTTCATAACAAGTTTGAATTATTTTCCTAAATATTCGTTATCATCATCATCATCATCATAACTATCATCATTAATTCTAATATTTAATTGCTCTCAATCAATCGTATCCATTATTTAACCGATATGTTTTTTTTTATTCCTAATCGTAAAATTCAGTTGTACTAGTTTAAATCTATGCTGAAAAGCTGACTCGAATAAAACATTTTACTAATTAATTTGTTTAGATTTTTCAACAATCAATTATTAAATATTATTATTAGGATTTGAGAAAAAAGCTAATCAATCATATAATGAGATTGCTTAATGACTAGAAAATCCATACTTTGACATTCAAATGAACAGAACATTGATAGAAAAAAATATCATTCTTTTTTTAGATATTCTGTATCAGTCAATGTAGTTTTTACTAAAGTTAATTACTATTAATGAACTCATTTTGTATCCTAAATATTCAGAGAGATTTTTCTCGTTCATAGTAATTATGTTAATATATACGTGATCACAAATTACTTCCCATAATTAAAATTCTATATAAGTAATCATACAAATTATTTGGATTAGGGAATCGATATCCTCATTCTATTATGCTCGAATGCGTTGTATAAAACATAATGATACTATTCAGACTTAAAATTAATAAACAGAATTTGTATTTACAATCTAATGGTTGAAAATGAATTATTTTAGTAAATACGAAACCACTAATCAACTATATTTAAACTTAAGCTAAATGACACTCTTTAGAATTAGTTATTTGAAATAACTTGAGCAGAGGCATGAATCACAAGTATTGCTACCATGAATCCTTTGATAAAGTGAAAGCTGGAAACAATGTATAGGCTTAACAATGTCATCCTCTATGAAGTACAATATTTATTAAAATATTGAGTTTGTAAGGCTTAGAAAGATACCCTGTTTGATTTAATAATCATAATAATCGAAATCTTTCGAATGTATTCACAGAAATCATGGCAAGACTAGAATTTATGGACGATACAATCAAAAGCCTTTAATGAGTTTCAGGGTTGCGGCGCCAATTTCAGTACCTGATGCTCATGTACTATGGGTTCACAGGGGATTTTAGAGATGTGATAATTAAGCGGATACAATAAATGGAACTACTGAGGAGTTCCTTTATTTGTAATTGCGGTAATCAAATGACTTGTAGATCTTGTGAAGACATCCGTGATGTTGTCCTTCGATGTAATACATGTTGGAGGAAGATGTCTGCTAGAATAGGAATTTTTTTCTCTCGATCCAGATTGAGACTAAGACAAATTATAATAAGTGCAGTGAACTGTATAATAAAAGCACTAGTAATATTGGCTGAAATATTCACAGATGTTACTGAAACCTCCGCTATTCAGTGATATGAACATTGTAAAGATATATGCGTAATGAAAATAACAAGCTTATACAACCGGAGTACACACAAACAATATTGAAGCTATGTGATCGAGGCTGAGAGAGTTTTTGCGACCTTATCATGGCTCCATAGACTGACTACTATGGAGCAATATGGATGAGTTCCTCTAACTTATGCATTACGATTTTAGAACCTTTGAACCTCTTTCTAATCTTCCCAAATTTTTGGACCATATAAAAGAAATATATCGACTTTAATTCTTTGGTTTACTATATTATATTTTTACTTTATGCTGACTGTTTACTGATTGGGTAATATTTTTCAAGGTCACTTGAAATTCGTTCAAAGGTCGTCCATAAATTATAATCTCGCCAAAATCGTAATTGTGTAATACATATTGTTTGTAAAAAACTAGTAAAATTAGTAATAGGTATTACAGTAAAGTTTAAGTAATTAATAAAGAAATATTGTTGTTGAATAATGATCATAATAAATGAAGGGTATTTTCCAATTTACTAATGATTTTGTATATAAAAACATTCTTTTTTAATTAGAAAAACAATAAATATTGGAACTTCAAAAAATATTTACCACTTAAAATAATATATGGGCGTTATATTATGGATTTTTTCTCACAGTAACTATAATTTATCGATTTATTAATCTTGGCAAACAATATGTACACTTTTTATTGAATAATATCTAAATTATACAATTTTGATACAATTTCAATATTAACTCAATGTTAACGAAGTGAAGTCCCAAATTTATTAACTGTTAAGTGACCAACGAACATTAATATTCATTCGGTTGTATTAATAATAGCTAAGTGGTTGTTTTGTCTCTTGATATCTAGTCATTTCCGACCTCATTATTATTTTTTTTTAACGTAAACTAGCTTTGAAAGATCCAGAAGTATCAATTTAGATCGCCAACTACACATGCGAATGCAAATAGTATACTTCTCTATTATAACAGATTAAGACAATAATTAATTGACAATATTATGAAATTACATTGTTAAATGATGATAGAAATAAACCAGAGATGGTGGTGGCTAGCAATGGAATCAAGGATGTGCGTTTTATCTCATTTTGGACTCTTGAGCCGAATGTTCCTGCGTCCGATATTTCATGTTTGCTCCGGGACCCAAATGCGACGAAACGCGCGTCATGGTTTCCACTTCTAGCCACCGTCATCTCTGTTTATAATGCTTGTGACTTAAGGCAATATCGAGGTTACTCGCACAGGATGCACATATGCCAACAAGAGACTGATCAATTGCAGTCCTAGACATCGATAGGGAAATTTAAACGATTGATACAAAAATGAAGTATTTATAGAAATAGTTTATCATTATTTTACAATAAATAATGAATATGTTTATGAAAGAATTCTGTTGTTGTTGTTGTTGAGTGAAATACAATAAACGGAAACAAATGGCTCTAATCAAAGGTATAAAATGTATTATCCTAATCATATATTATACGTATATTATTACGTGAAATGTCATATTTATAATTTGTTGTAAAATACAATAAGTGTATGATTGAATTCAGAATAATTTCTAAAATCATTCACAATGAAATCACAAATGAATGTGATGAAGTTCATTAACTGTTTTAAATGTAAATAAACTCCAGTTACAATGTATATGTTGCCAAAATTAGCTTTATCAGCATGTCACTTATATTAAATAATGAATAATATGAATATGAGAAATAACTAACTAATAACTAACTAACTTTAACAACACTAATACTTTATGAATGAATAAAGAATATAAAGTATGTATATGCAGTGATCATGATAATCTAATAATACAATAATGAATGAGACTTACTCAGTTTCTAATTCATCCACAACACAGTTATAACGATTGTTATTGTGTAAGCATAACTGAGTATACTGACGAACTAAATAGAGGAGTATAATATGACGAGGCATAGCAGATACATAACATATATGTATATATAAATAGAGATTGTGCAAATTTATCATCAAATCATCCAGTGAACAACATTCATCAGAGATTATATGTGTAAGTGGTTGTACATGCCAACAGTATTGTATTATCATTATCATCAAACGGTAGGAATAATGAAAAATAGTAGTAGGTTAAAGTGAATAGGAACGAATGGATGAACGAACGAACGAACGAACGAACGAGTGGGCGAGCGAATAAACCAGGTCAACGAGAATAATTGCAGCCAAAAAATTATCGTAAATAAATGCATGCATAATGAAAGAAGAATAAAAATGAAAAATAAAACTGGATAAAATAAAATTAAATAGGGTTATAAAAAAAATATGTACATACATATATGTAAAAGCATAATTCGAAAATAATGCAAATATTCACCATCAACATTATGTATACGTTTTGGAAATTACTAATATGGAATTAGTGTAAGAGTTCATAAATCAGCCCAGTTTATTACATTAAGATCAATTGAGTCAATTAGAAAAGTCATAGTTTAGTTGACATATGAAAAAACGATAATACGTAAGTCAACACATGTACTCAACTATTTTGTTTGACGCCCAATTTTAAGGAGTATATTTTCATCTAGTTATATTATTCCGGTTTCAGTAAACTTACTTTTGAAAAATATATATTTGTTGATAAGAACTTAAAATCGGTTATAAATTATATATATATTAATTGTAGTTCGGTAAGAGATTTTGGATTTTAACCATGTCTGAATCTTATTACGTGAAAGTAGGTGACCTTGTATACCTTTCTTATGAACTCTCAGAAAATTAGCGTCAATGTAAATAGGAAGAATGAAAAAGCTCTCAGATAAATGGAGGTTAATTGGTCATGTTATGAACAGTGTGGCATTGATCAAGTAAATTTCATTAACAATAGTGTGCACGCCTGGATTGTTGAGTAACAAACTTCATATATTTTGGTAGTCCCTTCCCATTATATTAGAAGTCAGTGTGATTGAGATCTTGTAATACATGCTATCTTTGGTAATAATGAATTTCACAGTCATGTAATCGAAGTAAGTCGGAATTGACCTGTTCTCGTTAAACATAATTGGTTATCGACCAATACAAATATATACATACAGGGTGAATGATCAATTAGGATTGTTGATACCATTATGGTTGTGCTACTGTATTATTTTGTGATATCTGGGTTATAATCTGCAAAGATGGCGTTTAACTTTCCTGTATAACCAGCCTAAAAATGAATTACCCTGTTGTAAAATCTGATTATGAATTTGCTGATTGATACTTTTAGTAGTTATACGTTTGTTTTAGAGGCTTGGGAGTCAATATCTACGACAATATCGCGAATGGATCATCAAAACTCAGATTCTAGACGGTATTGGGACAATTGCGGCAAGTTTAGAGTTTATATACGTTAGTGTGCTCTGATTCGTGAAGACAGTGTTAAATTTATTAAACCAGAATTTAAAAATCTGAACGAAACATTTTAAACCTTGGTTGCATTTACTATCCGACTAATATTCATGCCTAATAACGGGTGACATGTTAAAAGATAGCTATCCACATGGCAGAAAGTAAAATTGACAACTGAAGACAAAAACTGGACCTGATAATCAAAGTTTAAATTAATTAGTCTAAAAATAATCTTTCATTATCACTATAATATTTGTATGTATGTGAGGTATATCTTATGTAAACTGGCACATTGCTCTATTTATTTTTTTAATAGGTATTCACTTATGAAACGTTTTAACCTATCAACTTAGTTAAGTCCAACGGTAGTCATACCGCTTAATTTATCATTTGTCACTTTACTTTAATCTTTACTCTGAGACAACTGACTTCTTTGATAATCCTCAGTAAGAAATTAAGTTATCATTAGATCATTGAAATAATTTGATTTTCTGTAAGTTATGCGAATGAATTTTTAATAATTAGGCTAAAAGATTTTACTGTTTAATTCATCAGCGAAAAACACTTAGTACTATGAAGTTACTAATAAGAAATACTACAAACTGATAGTAAATATCGATGAAATAGTGAAAGGGTTACATTTCTTAAAAATTCCCCTATTTTGCCTTAAGACTGATAAAACTTTTTAAATATTTTAACGATAAACGTTTTAAAGGACCAGAAATTTAAAGAAACGGAATGTATTTGAAACTAAATAACAAGTTGATTGAAATACTAAAGATAGCTAGTAGTAGGATTCACTCTATTGGTTAAGCTTAAAACTTGATATCTTTCTTTTCAAAACAATATATTAATTGATTTGTTGCTATTATATCAAACATGAAAGTTATTAAATGTACTTCAACATGAATGAAATGTATTCAATTCCATTTAAAACATAAGCTATTTACAAATAAACCTGCTTCTGCATATAATACTAACCTTTTGTAAATATTGTTACTTGTTGACCTGAACATTACATAAATGATAAATAAAAGTTTGCTTCTAGAATAATATTTTACAGTTGGGTCAATTGAACATGTTTTGACATATCCAAATGTATAAGAACTACAATTTAATGGTTCTTTCTTCTTAAAAAAAAAGTAAACCAATGCCAACTTTAAATAATTCCTATTTAAACATTAAAATTAAAACACCAAGTTCAGCGAAGGGATCTCTTTTCAACGAATTTATTATCAAGCTGTACAATCGTGTATATATATGAAAATGTTTTGTCAAAGTATTAATTCCGTGAGGAAATGTGAACACTAATAACCAAGATTATAATACTAGATTACGTAATACGAGTATTAACAATAGATTTAGTGAATAAAATAAGCTGATTAAAATGAATAAAATGTTTTGGTTACAATAATTAAAGGTCGTTAAAAATCATAGAGATGTAAAACTAAATAAGGTGATATGGTGAGTATTCATGAATAAAATAATGAGAATATAAGATATAAGTAAAGGGGAAATTGAATTAGTATTTTAACAAAACATTTTCATATGTATACGATTGTACAGCTTGATAATAAATTCGTTGAAAAGAGATCCCTTCGCTGAACTTGGTGTTTTAACTTTAAATAATTTAATGAACATACACAGTTAACGTATTTATTTCTGAATAAACAGATATATATGTCGAGATAGTTTATAGATTTGACAAAACATCAGAAAACTGGTTAGTTTTTCGAAGAGCGAAGTGTAAATAAACCCGTTGGTTAAAAATTTTCATAAATTTTTAAGATTAATGTTATTAATAAATTCTCATCAAACAAATGATTAATTTAGTAAAAGAAATCTATTTTCGACGATTCCATTCACGACAATGTGTAAAAACAATTATATATTATTTGTGGACACGAGATCATGGAACAATTTACGCCCCTAAAATAACTACTAATCGGGGACGTATACTAGCCAAACATTTTCGAAGAAAATGATAAATTCAAACTTTGCTGGGATTCAGTAAAAAAACATATATATGGTGAAAATTGACCTAGAAGGTGACAAACAGAAACCGACTTAAAGGAGAGGTTTCTGGTTCTTAACAATGTTAAGTTGGATATACTTTAGTCCACGAATATTTACCAGTAGACTGGATGAAGAGACCCCGGACATAGATAGTTTAGTACTTTTTCTTGTGGCATTAGATATAAACTGCATGGTTGAAAAGAGACAGTAGTGGATTCATAAAAAATCAACAATGGATATCTCATGAACATACAGATCAATCGATCAAAAAAGCACTAACCACTTAAACTTCTATACCAGATGAAAAATTACCTGCCGAAAACAGTTAACTTTCACATTCTTCGAGATTTTATTTACATACAGAGGTTAAAACTATGTAAATTAAATAAAATTACTCAACCTCTACTCCTACAATAGACACAATCACTAACTTTCTCAAATTATCACCTATTCCTTCTCTTCTTAATTAACATACTCTAAACAAATGTATTCATTGTAAGCAAAGATGGATAGTAGCTAGCAATGAAATCCAGGACGCGCGTTTCGTCCTATTTGGGACACGTCGGCTGGATGTACCTGCATCTCAGAGTTGATGTTCACTCTGCACAAGCAAGTGGCTATCAGGACTCAGTAGCTGAGTAGATATCTCGATGGCGTTTGAAGCGAAAGGTACTAGGTTCGAGTCCCAGAGTGAACATCAACTCTGAGATGCAGGTACATCCAGCTGACGAGTCCCAAATAGGACGAAACGCGTCCTGGATTCCACAGGTAGCCACTATCAATCTTTGCTAACAAGGCAATACACACAGTATGCACATATGCCAATTAGAGATTTACCAGTTGCAGTCCTAACCATCAATGGGAAGTTTGAAACCAACAATACTAAGATTTATTCATGTTTTTAGATCCTTTATGACAAAACGTTTATCTCAATATTATCTTATCCTATTTTGTAATTTGTTTTTATAGTAAAAGTAATTGCCTAATTTCCATGGCACTCTATAAAGTTCATTTCTAAAGATTAACCAAGTATTTTCACAGTTTGTTATTAGTAAGAAAATCTCTGTGATACTTATTATTTCTTTTTCCGTTGTCATGCTCTGAAAATTATTGCTACTATCGATTAAAAAACACATTGTAAAATAGTGTTTTTTTGTATTTATACTACTCTGAGGATAAAATAGGCATGTTTCTTCACGCTCCATCACATTCTATTTCATTGTATGCTTTCCACTCAAATTGTTGCCATATAAACAATAAGAATGAACTTATATAAAATGGACATAAATTCCACCTTCAAAAACAAATGTAAAACTTAACATTACTGAAGTTTACACATTCCATGTTAAAGAGCGAATAGTTGATAATATAAACAAAACAGTTCGAATTTATAAATAATTGTTTATGTACAGTGATACTAATCCATAGAATGTATCATTAAGAATAGCACTTTATAAAGCCTTTTTGTTTCATCCCAACTTAACTTAATAAGTTGTTTTGTTGAGCTAACTATTTAAATGTAGTAATAAGTGATTTTCAAACGGTTTGAATAAAATGGAAACTTTTTTAAAAATGAAATTGAATATTCAACCGTGTGTACAACTATTGAAATAATTTAAATAACTGAGAGCTGAACAATTCTTTTAGGAATCTCATAAGGAACTGGGAAGCAACAACCACAACAATAACAACAACGGGAATATAACACACAACAATAATACTTTTGAAGGAAAACATACTCGAAATCAATATAGTAATAAAAACAGGATGAAAATAAAAAAATGTACTCCAAGATCACATACACAAAACGTAAGCATATATGATCATTCAATAAACTTCACAAATAAAGAGTGATATGTATATATATATACATAACTATTTAAATTATATGCATTAAAGATGAAACTAAACTAATTCTTACTCATATTCAGCTTCATCAACTGTACATTTGTATACGGCATGACTAAACAATGTAATGTCTGTAATTTGAATAACTTTAAGGGGAAAAAATGTGATCAAAAACAATTACAACAGGGAAAAAAGAAATGTATACAGAAAGATGAAAATTTATGGTACACTAATTAAAAGTAACATTTAACTATCTTTTACTGTTTAATTAATGAAGAGAAGGAAAATTAAGGAATCCACACTTGCAACCATGAGTAACAAGTATGAACAGAAGAAATCTGATAACAAAGGAATTTTACGTACTGTATTGAATACTGAAATGCTCATACAATAAAATTGAAATTAGGAGAAATAATAGAACGGAAGTATTCACAAACAAATATATGTGTGACGTAATTGTAAAAATAAGATTTGGAAAAAATGCATGGTAATAATAATAATGATTAGTATAAGCTATCATATAATCACATTCATTCAAAGACAATTTTTCAATGATTGAAATCGTTTCCTGTATGAAAGAGATGTAATCACTGAAGTAAAAATAATTCTTTGTATAAGCATAGACATAAATCCAATATAAACAATAAATCACATCCAAACATTCAAGTAAAAACATCAAAAAGATCTGATCAACAGAGTTTGTTTAAGGCTGACAGATATTCGTCTGTTGTGCTTTAATTGAATAAAACACCTTTATCTGAAAATAATTTCGTATAAATGTTTTCCGATTGTAAACTTAACAAACAAATGAACAAAGACTTCTGTAAATCATACGTTAATTAAGGTATATTTATTGAGGTAATTTCATTGTTGAAATAACAAATCGCCTAAATACCTTAGAAATTTTCATAGTTGAAAGCGTGAGTCATTTGAATATAGACCATCAAGCAAAACCTGGAAGCACTGGACGGCCGTTTCGTCCTACTGTTGGACTCCTCAGTAGTGAATATGTTCTAGAAGAATCAATGTTCTTAATAAGAAAATTTATGAACTTTACATTGATTCGTGATGTCAAGTAAATCAGTTTAAAATCTTTCAATGTGATTATTAAACGATGTAGCCGTAATCTTCTCGAAGTTGATTTGATTATAACAATCAAACACTTATCAACTAATTTAAGCTTTTATTGAACCAGTTTAATTTATTAAACTGACCAACTTTTCTATCCTTATTTAGGAGTTTTACTACAATGGTTAAACTGACAACATCAGTCAAGACTCCGGAATTTCAAACTTAGTATGAATATTTTATCTAAATTATTGAAAATTATTCTGAGCAATTGAACAAGAAAAAACACTTATTTTTTTACTCTGTACTAACATTGAAGTTTTTTTTGTAATTACAATAACATACAAACATAAATCAAGATTCCTTGTAGAGAAGGAAAGGAACAAAATAAGACAAATCTAAAGTTGTTTAACATGATAAAAAGAAACAATCAGTTTTCCACAGAATCCCAAAAACGAACATGATAGATTTATTCATTTAACATTTACTAATAAATTTTTTTTGTTTTTTTTTCTGATTAATTTGAAAAAAATAACTTTGATGAATAGAATTACTTATTAAGATTGTAATGGTTACTATTATTATATATTTTTTATTGACGTCATGATTAATCTAGACATTATAGACAAATAAAAATATCTTTTTCATTTCCCACAAATTATTCCCAGACGTTATTTCGCATAGATGTTAGCAACAATTTTTATAGAGATTTAATTACTGGTTTTGCCAGGAAATTGTGTATATCAGAAATACCGTTTGTATAATATATATATATATATATACATATCGCAAGACTATAATTTATGAATGAACCAATCAAGTATAAGATAACAGATCTCTGATTTTGGCGCGAAATTTATTCATCCATTTGGCTAAATAGTTATTTGGCATTATAGCTGATGTCAGTTGGTAATGAAAATCCTAAATCTAATTCCTAACCTTAACTATCAACTGTGAATCATAATTTTAAGCACTCACACTAGTTCATAACACTCATTTGGTCCTAGTAATTAAGTTGTTAGGTGTACACTCTCAAAGTCACTTTGGCATCGCTCAAAGATAGTCCATAAATTATAGTCTCACCATATATATATATATATATATATATATATATATATATATATATATATATATATATATATATATAATTGAGTTTTCAAACCGAATTTTATCTGATTTACATTATATACATTTGTAACGATCCAGACACATTCTTACTAACTCAGCCTATTGATTAAAAACAAATTGCGTACACATAAAATATCGTTGAAATTCAACTAAAATACTTTTGTTAGTTTTATTCTCAAGTAACAATTTTAGTGTAGTTCAAGTTAAGAAAATACAATAGATACATAATTAATAACTGATCATGTTGGACAATAGAAAAATGTATGCACATAATAGTCATAATATTATAAGCCACTATCCATCTTTGTTTATAATGCTTGTGAATTAAGGCTATATCGAGGCAATGCGCACAGTATGCACATATGTCAATAAGAAACTGACCAGTTGCAGTCCTAAACATCAATGAAAATATTCAAACAAACAATACCAAGTGAATTTAATAGTCATGATAATTTATAAGTACGAACCTGTGTAAATGTTTGTTTATGTGTAAGTTTATAGAGAGAGAGGAGCAATACTTACCTGACAATTTAATTTTTTTCACTGTTTTGTTTGAATTATTGTCTACCAAAACATTGATATCTATTGATTCACCATGATAATATTTCTATTTAACGTTGTTGATGATGTTATTATCATCGGTTTGGACAAGAAAATGGGTAAAAAATGAAACGAGGGAAAAAAGCGAATAGATGAGAAGACAGATCAATAGATGTACATCTATAATCAATGCAAAATCAGTGTTGTGAGTGTATATTACTGATAAATATTTAGCAACAATATTGGGTTTGAGATAGTTATTCATAACAGGTAATGCAAGATGGTCACGCAACATCGCAAATTGATTGAATTCGGACATTTACACAATCGGACTCCAGCTCAGCTGTCTAAACCTTTAACTTTCGAGCACGACACCAAAAGTTTTGGGTTATATTTTCGGTAAGGGCGTAGATGTTTACTGTTTAGGATTTCAGTAATAAGACAAACAGTGTACTGATCTTTCTGGTTTTCAGTATTTGTTTAACTATGATCTGTCTATTATGTCAGTAAAATGTGAAACATCTATTCAATGGGCTTTTGCTTATATCACCTCACCAGTGAATCACAGTACGTCATTAAATCTAATTTTTGAGTAGTAAAACGATTTTCTCGAAATTCACTCTAGATAAATATAGCTACATAGTTGAATAACTTAATTTTCATTTTAAAAATTATTGATGATTTAATTGTTTTTTTATATGGTTTTAAACCAAAAATAAAGTGATTCATTAATAATTCGTTGGAGAACAATATAGGCAGTTTTGGTAATAAACAACTAAATATATATATTTAAACCTTTCACAAAAGAATTAAAGGCATCCATTGCACTCTAGAATTACCTAAGGAAACATTCTTTACATGTCGTAAGATATTCGACTCGAAAATAGAACAAATAATGCACTAGCCTCGTGGGATTTTCAGCTATCATGTGATGTTATCTACTGATATCGTTTCATTACGTTTTGGATTATATTTTTAAGTTTTACACTTGAAGATAATCCCCGAAGGAAACCACTTTTACTTTGGGTATTCTCGCGTGGCATCAATAAATGAGAAGCTTACATGATGAAACAATGACACGTTAACAGAAACGAAATTATGTTTCTTAATAATGCAATAAAGGTAAACATATAAAATACAGACCAATGAGTGTGACAGTGTACTATTAAAGTGATTCTTTGCTAGAACTTCAACATCTTATGTTTGATTATTATTATTATTTACAGACTTTTGGATCTATTTAATTGCAGACTAGTTTAATGATCAGAAATTGTAATAACTTGGAGATGAAAAAAATCATTAAAAAGGAATTTTGTTCAATTATCCAAAAGTAATAGGATGCAAGTATTCAGCAATCAATATTCCGAGGAAATACGATAAAATTTCATTTACAAACAGGATATCTAAAATTAAAGCCATTATAATCCATACGTAAGAAAAAAGAAAAGATTTTGCCTTAATTTATTCAGCAGGATGCTCATTAGAAAGAGGAAAACGATTGGAAGTTTAGGCAGATTATGTTATGGTGCGACATTCTCTGAGATGGATAGTTTAATTGTGAAGCATTCAATGTCGCGACCCAACAAATCGGCTATTAAGGCTCAACACTACTAAAAATGTGCTCAATAGTAACCGGTTTGATGAAGTATTTCCTGGAGTCCCAGTGAGAAGCCGTGGCCAGTGGAGTCCAACTGTGTCTGTTGTAGAAGCAGTTAATAACTGAAGACAATGGTGGACGGTCGCGCGATTTCGTGGATTGGTTGAGGTTAGACATTAACACCGTTGGATGCTGGCTCAGTGGTCTATAGGTTAAGCGCACGCGCGTGAGACTGAAGGTCCTGGGTTCGACTGCCGCGTGGGGGATCATGGATGCGCACTGCTAAGGAGGCTCATATCGGGACGAAACGGCCGTCCAGTGCCCCCAGGTCTTTCATGGTTGTCTGGCTTTAATCGACTCATGCATTCAACCATTAACAACTACTAAAAGTGTTATCAGTAAAAAATTGTTTGTCAACTCGCAAACTTTAGATTACCATTCCCTTCTCGATTCATTTGATATCTCAATCTTGTTTTTAAATAATATTTATTAGAATTATGTTGGGGTGATTTTTCTATAAGTTCTGAGAGGTTTTAAAAATCTAAGATGAAAATATTTAAAACAAATTGATCAATTCAAAGAGATAAAAAAGATTAAAATCAGTGAAAAACTACCTACTTCTTTATTTAAAGAGACCTCCAAACGGAGTGTACCTGGACTCATAATGAATTCTTTAAGGACCACTGCAGATGGTTGCGGGGCTGGTCCTTCTGGTGCATAAGTCAGTTTACGAATAGCAAGTCGGACAGCATTACTATTGATTTCGAAAAATACAAATTAGAGTATGATAATGGTTTAACGTTGCAATTAACTAAACGAGAAAATCATTCACACACAAAAACAAGTCTTCATCATAAATGTTGTTATTGTGAATTCATACTATAGTGTATTGATGAGTTTTTGCATTATAGAGCAGTTTAGCGCAGGTATAGACTACAGAAATTGGTTAATGAACAGAAAAATCACTTCAAATATCATCGTATACATTAAACTTTACTTATATAATGGAATACAATAAATTATAATACCTATCTTCTATTTGTCTCTTCTGTTTTCATAAATGCACACTCAAACACACAGTCAGTCATTATCAAAGTTGAAACCGGCATATATGTGAGTGGCTTCAAGTTCCCATATCACATTAGTACGTTAAAATGAAGTTAGGCGAATGAATAACAAAGTAGTAGCAGTTACGATTAAAAAAGGAAAAGGGTTAAAAAACCCACTGAGAAAGTATACATGAAGAAGTATCGGAACTCAAAATTGAGTTTATCTGAGTCACTGTAAGCTATTCTAATTCATGTCATAAAACTTCTGCAGCTACTGATCATGGTTATCATACTGACCTCAACCAAGTAGCCTTTATCTGGCAATATGCCTCGAATCAGCACTCATTGACTTCAGAGACTGATGTCACGTTTTTGGTTTGACTGCACCTACCTTTCTTCCAACCTATTTTTGTATTACAAAGCATTCCTCATCGGAGTAGGCGGTGGTTAAGCATACGTAGAACCTCTCTTAGTCACCTCAGTCGATAAAGGTTCACTTCGACATCTACTGGTTTGCCAGCGTTCCCCAGTACTCTATGCTTAACTGCAACATGGATAATACCGACACAAACATACAAAATGTTACCTATAATATCGATTTGTATCTACCACCCTACTTGATCTTGTGTGACATGTTATGTTAACAGTATAGAGTTTGCATTCTCCAGACGTATTTCTGGGCGCTACCTTGCATTACTACGTAGACAATAAACTTGTGCACAGCTGAATCTTTAGTAATTCATTAATTTAAGCATGATCTCAGTGAGAAAACATCACATATTCAGTCCTCTATTATACTATCCCTGGACTTCTTTCACTATTGACAATTTTCAGTATTAGTTATTCTCTTATTCTTTGTATTCGACATACAAGTATGCAGATCAAGTAAATGATGTCATTGAAGACAAATGTTTCTTTTATTGAACCATCTTCATTTCATTTATTTTTATTTTTCTATTTATTTATTGTTTCTTTTACATTAATCACAATTTAATAAATGAACGAACTAAATTTCAAATACTCAGAAAAAGTTAGTTAATCAAGCATGGGTTAATCGAAACTTATTTCTTTCTTCGGGATTCTATTGTCATCAATGAGGAAGCAGAAAAGGTTAGTTTACTTTACTTTCTATAATTTACGTTATACCATGTTAAAATTTTCGGATACTTTTACAATATAACATCACCATAAATATACAGATAAAAACACTCAGAGTAGTTTTAGTCTGATTAATGCCAATGGTATTAACTGTTAAGAATTGTAGTTATTATTATTAGTAGCAGTAATAGTATTAGTATTATCATTGTTAATATTAGTATTCACCGTTTATTACACTGTGTTTGATTGTCCGGGCGGTAGCTTATGGCTCCGCATAAAAATATTTGGCTGCAAAAATTGGAGTAAATGAGCTGTAATAGTTTAATATGAAAAAACAAAAACATTCAATCATATAAAAATTATCAATTATCACCAAAATAATTGGCAAATTGAATTTTGTTTTTTTTAAGAAAAACAGTACACACATGCATAAGTACATACAATTAGTGAATGATAGAAACGATAGTCTTGATAGAAATAAAATGATAAAGATCGATCTGTTCTCAAATGATAATCACAAGCTTATGAGTGAAAATAGCAGTAGCTTAGTTGTGATTTTTATAAATAAGTTATTCAGAGCAATCATATTTTACCTATAATTACTGAGTTACAAATTCAGACCTCGTTAGACATGCTTCAATTTGAGCACTCAGGTAGTATTTCCAACTCTTAGATAAACAGTCTGGCTCATAATTAGGTGTGAGAAATCCGCGATTTTGTTCTGAGTTCGGCTATTGAAGAAGGGAATGTCTAAGAAGCTTAGTAACACCTCGAATGCTCTATGCATAAATATCTCAGGCGAAGTAAGGATATGCAACCAAATCTTTCCAACGTTACATTTCAGAAATTGGGTTAAATAGGTTTGTCCAATCTCACCATTTTTCTTCAGCATTGATATTGGTGACATTCTGAGAAAATAGCTGTAAAGGAAGTGATTTATATCCATTATAAAGTGTATGTAGATTACATTGTCTTACTCTGAGATGAAGCACAAACGATACAAATCTTACTCATTCAGTTGACGACCAATATTCGTAGACGGTGAGTAGTTAGAATAAGTAGAAATTTGTTTGTGTTTGGGGAGCAATGTGAGTATTCGTGGTAGCGCGATTGGTGAGACAAATGTACATATAGTGAAGGTCAAAACGGTCTATCCTAATCTGGACCATCTTTGTCTCATTCATGATTTTGCTTTGGTCTCAAAAGATCAAGTTTACAAATAGGCAGCGAAATAACCTTTGCCACATCTTTTTGAAACCTAACCCCTCTGAGTTGACGATGTTCGGCGACTTTCTGTGTTTGATCATCGTTGTCCCTGAAGAGTTTCTGGTACTCAGTATAAACACCATGTTAGTAATGAGGATATCTTTTAACATGCATCTTTGTATAGTGTAAATAATTCTGCTGGTGTCACCGTCTTGAAAAATTTGCTTGTTTAGCTAGGATATGTGCCACAAATGTCGTCCAAATGACCTCCACATTATAACTTATTTACCAACGCTGAGACTGGTTGAGAAAAACGTAGAGTATATCAGCTTATAACATGTTGGCGAGGTAGAAAAAGATCTGTACAGGAATGGGGTCTGTTGACTCATCATGACTGCCCGGTTGATATCCCAGAGACATAATCAAACATGGCTTAATGTAAAAGTCAGTGATAGCTTTTCTGTAATTCTATTTCACATTTTTTGTAAAAATATGAGAACCTCATTTAATTAAAAAAAGTCTTCTCTGATGTACTTTTTTTATTGAAGTGCACCTTTTACTGCATACTATTCTCGTTTACTTCTTTTTATTCCTTGAATTATTTTTAATTACACTTATCCACTTTTCTCTATCTCTTTAGAATTTCATTTCTTTGTTTATGTAGCGAATTCTTATTGTGGTTGTTGTAGCGTAAATCTGATTCTGTCTATACTCGTATGTAATAAATGACTTTATCCGCGTTGGTGAACAACGGAGTTAAATACGTCAAATACGAGAATAGATTTACAATACATATATTTTCTACAGTCATTGATCTGGCCAGAGAATCAGAGTGACGAAGCAAACTGATGAGAGCGGAACAAAAATGACGCGCATTGGAGATGACTGGGAAGCCAACTCGAGAGCGAAGCGAGAACAATGCGTATTGGAGATGGCTGGGAAGCCAACTCGAGAGCGAAGCGAGAACAATGCGTATTGGAGATGGCTGAGAAGCCAACTCGATTTAAGCAAGCGTTAATCAACATTTATAGTCAGACAAAAATGAATGACAGACATGTGATAGGTGGGATAAGAAGGGTACATACACATGCGCTCATATAACAAGGTAGTCAAGGTTAGTAAGCGAATAATTAATAAGATCAAAATATGACTTATAATGGATAGGCGAATTGGCTTGGCAAGCAACTAGAATAAAGTATATGGGCTTAACATATAAACTGATACTACATGGTATCCAGTTTTATCAAAATTTATGTGTATTAAATAAATATCCGGACATCAACTCTTTAAGTAATACCACTTATATCTCAGAAAAGTAAATTATTTTGCTAACTGGATCATAATATCTTTATCAAACAGATCTTAACATATAAATAGTGGAAATTAAGAGACATTATATATATATATATGCAGACAGAAGTTCTGTATTTACGCTTTAAACTTTTTATTAGAATGATCAATAAAAATCCAACAATTAGTTAATTTGACATAATTTTTTTTAAGAAAAAACAATAGCATGTATTAATAATAAATAACAAGAAGATGTACTTTACTCCATAATCACTTAGTTATTCAGAATTCTATCTACATTATAAGCGAAGATAGATAGTTGCTGGCAGTGGAATCCAGGACGCGCGTTTCGTCATATTTAGGACTCATCAGCTGGATGTACCTGCATCTCAGAGTCGATGTTCGCTCTGAGACTCGAACCCAGTACCTCTCTATTCAAACGCCATCGCGTTATCCACTCAGCTACTGAGTCCTGATAGCCACTTGCTTGTGCAATGGGGTGACGTTTAAATTCACTTAGTATTGTTTGTTTGAATCTTCCGAACGCATTCTTACTTACACAGACTATTGATTAAAAACAAATTGCGTACACATAAAATATCGTTGAAATTCAACTAAAATACTTTTGTTAGTTTTATTCTCAAGTAACAATTTTAGTGTAGTTCAAGTTAAGAAAATACAATAGATACATAATTAATAACTGATCATGTTGGACAATAGAAAAATGTATGCACATAATAGTCATAATATTATAAGCCACTATCCATCTTTGTTTATAATGCTTGTGAATTAAGGCTATATCGAGGCAATGCGCACAGTATGCACATATGTCAATAAGAGACTGACCAGTTGCAGTCCTAAACATCAATGGGAAGATCCAAACAAACAATACTAAGTGAATGTATCTACATTTGTTACTAATCATTACATATAAATAAGGATTTTATATTTTATGTAAACAGTTTATTTGTTATTATTTGAATAGTTAATATTGAATAATACAACAGAATTTATAATTTGAATGTACAATTCCACCTATCGTATTACTCTAGATTTATAAAAGAAAATGTTATTCAGAATAAAGTTTTTTAACTACTTGATCTAAACACTGCAACTACATATGTATTAACGTTCATCAGTGTTTCTCGATGAACCTCATTGTACTGAGAGTAATAATATACTCATTAATGACCAGCTTTAAGATGCGATTCTTGGAGTCTTAGTGAAAATCCGTAACCATTGATGTTGAACTATATCGGTTGTGGGACAGTCATCTACAGCATACAATCCACGATAGTCAAGCAATGTTTCGAATTGTTTGACTTTGGACATGTAAACCATTAGGTGATGGCTCAGTTGCCTGAAGCTTAAGCGTTAGTCTAGAATGTTAAAGGTTGTGGGTTATATCTGCGGCAGAGTTGTGGATTTTCTCTGCTAGGAAGTCCTGCAGTAGGACAAAACATTTGTTCAGTGCTTTCTGTTTCTCAGTGGTTATATAACTAAGCCCCAAATATTAGTATTTTCTATAATTGGATTTCAATATTTAGTATAATTCACATGTATATGACCTTTAGTATTTTTAAATAATCTCCTGACATATGCACAGCCGATTATGTGTATCTGTGCAAGTTTCACATTCCACATCAATACGAAAGAATATGATAAAAAGCAACAAAGACCCTCTTATCTGTAAACATAGCTCGGATTAATAGTAATCGACATCATATACTGATGAGATTTATTGGTCTGGTATCCTCTAGTCCTTTTCTAACTTAGATCAATGATATTACAGCTAAGTGATCGGGAGTAGTCATTTATGTGAAAAATTATTAATATTTCGTCTCATAGTATGCTGAACAACAAAGTCCATTTCTATTAAATGTTCTCTAAGATGGATTTCATGGTGGATTAGTTTTTCCTTTTTTTGTTATGATAAAATAATAAAAACACTTCAAGGATTAAATATATACCACTAAATACGTTAACATTCCTTCATTTATTGTAAGGAATTGTAAGCTATATCAACTCTTTTTTTCAAATAGCATATTGTAATCATGATACAACATAATTCTGATATTGCGTCTATCGAGCATTGGACAATTAAACACCTACGAATTGACATTCAAATAAATCCTATAAAATATTCATAAAATTAGTGATGAATAACATCATTTCCTATGATTTCACTAGTATTTTTTTTAAAGTCATTAAACTTAAAAAACATAGTTTAAACAAAATTTAACATGGTATTTTCAATTTCCAACATACAAGATCTCTAACACTAGTGTACCAGGTGAAACAAGCACTCCATATGATAAAAAATAACTAATAAAAGGTGGTCCAAAATAACTTTCATTGATATTCAATAAACATTGTGTAAAATGAGTAATTATTATGAGAAATACAAACCACAGTAAAGAACATTCAGTATATGGTAATAATATATTCGACAGAATATAAAAAGGTATGATAATAATTTCACTAGTTTAAAGGTCCTTTTCCATGCTATAAATGTCTACATAAACGAAAAATTCTTCTGAAAAAGTATCATGCACAAATGTAACACGCGCATATTTCTATACTTATGGCCACCATAAATAGATAATGAAGGAACTGATTTAGAATTGAGGGATATCGATAGGGTAAATCAGATAAAATTAATACAAAAGGTTGTTTAAATTATCTTTATTAAATCTACTCATTATCAATCGAAAACTCTTAAGAGACTAGCTTTAAGCTGAACTCATGGAGTACTAGGAAGAATTGACAAGTAAAGATAAACCACTACTCTGGATTGATGTCGCTCTACAATGTAAATTGTTTTAAATTGGAAATCTTTACCACAGAACTCTAAATTATCGGTCTAAAGGTAATGAGTTCATAGCAAATTTTGAAGGTCTTTAGACCAATTCCTGGTAAACATGTGCTTGTTTGCTGCTTAGGAGCCTTACACTACTGTTAAACAAATATCTGGTGCTCCCTATTTACCAATTGTTTTACACATGCATTCAGTTCATGACGGAACCCAATTTGCGATCTGCTTTACATGAATTACTCATGTTTGATGTTCGGTATATTCACGTGTTACCCTAACATGCTTACCGAACTCACCAAAAATGTGTTTAGAATACATTTCTACAATTTCTTAAATTGTTTTTACAATACCTATATGAAAAATATACAACCATCTACTCACCTCGAACAGCTCATGTGCACTGAATATCTATTAGCCTTGCTTAATAATGTACTAAATTTATGCGTATGCAATCATCAATATCGTATAAATGAGATCAGAGAGACTAATTCATACTATATATTTTGGAACATGATTCACCAGTAAGATTGTAATAACCAGTAGAACCATCTAAATGTACAGTGAGCTGAGTAATTATCGAGGATATTTTGATGATGAAATAGCATTGTTACCAGTTGATTAGAGCAAAAAAACCATTGTATTCAGACTTGCTAAGTCAGCAGCATTATTTTATCCATGAAGTATGAGGGTGTGCTCTTTTAAAAAGTCCTAAGCCAAGGAAAAACAGATCCCTAGCTCTCCCGAATCTGTTTGTTTTTTCTGTACGGACTGTCCTACAGTAGTGCCTTTGGTTAGAAAGCAATTCAAACAGTAATTTACTTTACAGTTGATCACTAAGTAGTGGCTGATAAAATGTTTATCCAGTCTTTGAAACGCTTCTAAAATTGTGAAACTTGGTGAAACCGCATCAAACTCGCAAGTGAGAACTAGTTCTCTCAATACTACAGGCATACCTTAATGACAAGTGTCAAACATGAGACCTTTATAAATGGTCTCCAGTCGACTGTCTCCAACCAAATAAAGATCAACTTTGCTAAGCAACGTTATCATTTTTCTCTTGTTTCGGCTCTTATCAATATATCAAAAGAATAAACCTTACATTGACTTATTTAGTAATAAATCAAAAAAAGTATGTATACTAATATTAAACAATATACCATATGGTATAGTTAATATACGTTAAACTAGACAATGACTATTCATTTTGTATTATGAAAAAAAATAACTAATCAACCTAAGTTCAAATAAAAGAATTTACCATCATCATGTAACTAAAAACTAGGCAACAAATGTTATCAATATTTTTTTTTTCGGAAAAATTCCTTCATGTATAAAACCATGTTAATTTTTTTATGTTTACCGCTTATTTATTTATCCATTCATTCATTCATTCAAATAAGTCTATCATCTTTCAAAAGTAATTTGTTATTCATCACTGTATATTGTTATTTAGAGGGAAATGCAAAACATTTAGTCGGAAAACATTTGATACAACTAATTATTAAGAGATAGATAATTTTAAAAAATGAAGCGAGATTTTTATGTTCGAATAAGAATATTACTAAAATTAATTAATAATTATGGATTCATATTTCCAAGATTCATTTTTGCATGTTTAGGTAAAATTATCATCAAGTTTTGTAGAAATTTGTTACTGAGAAAAAGAAAAAAAATTAATCTTAACAATGACTTTTAAAGCAATTTGTCCCCTTGATAAATTTCGATAATGTAATAAGAAGATGAAGATTATCAGAACTATGTGATGATATATTAGCGCAATATATTTCGAATAATCTGATCACACATAATATACTTGTTAAGAACATTTATATATCAAAATAAAAGGTCAACTAGACTGGAAATGGTGGGTTAAGAGTAGACAAGTATATGTGTGATCAGAATGTTTGAAATGTATTGCGCTAATATATCATCATATAGTTCTGATAATCTTCGTCTCCTTATTACATTATCGACAATGACTGTTCTCTTTTTAATAAATTTCCCATAAGATAAGGAAAAAAATTAAGATACATCTTGATGTCACAAAAAACAAAACATAAATTCGCAAACTCATTTTTTAATTATAAAAACAGAACTTATACTATAGGTAATCTAGACTTATTATTATCATTACTATTAATAATAGCTTAATTCAACATTATATTGTATATAGAATCCTTAGTAAAAAGTATTTTAATAAGTTTCCTTTTCTTATTTCTGATAAGTCTTGCTGATTGAACGCTATACTCGGATCCTAAGCTAGTCTCGTAATCTCCAAGCGAGAACTACACAGTGACTTGAACATGAGAGAAAAGGCGCAAAATATACGAGAAGCACTTAACTCCAAAGGTTCATTTATGTACAGAAAATATAGGGTTTTTATAGTATTTTAAAAGTCCCTGGGTTTTCCTTAAAATTCTAGAATGGTACTAAACAGAGTAGCAGCATAGTAATCAGAAACTCTACATGTGACTTTTCATTTCTAACAAAACTTCTAATCAAACGCTGATTGGATAAAATGCTTCTTAATGTTTCCTGAGTTGTCATGACTGTTGCGAGAAATTTTCAGGATTATCCAAACAACTCCTTGATCAATCCTGACGATAAATATTGAGTGGCCGCCAGTAAGATGCAGGCAGTTCAGGAATCGACATCTGAATAATTTCCATTCTTTTCAATACATATGGCCGGCCAGCACGATGTCTCTGATTGTACTGTTTTGCAACTTTTACAGCAAATGGTCTCAAACCTTTCACAAACGCGCCAGAATAGATTATACAATCAGGGGACACAATGATTTGTTAAGATAAACAAAAAACAAATGACTTATTGAAATATCTAGATGGCAACAAGATGGTCTAGATATTCAAGCAGGCCGCTGACTGCCAGTCATAACTCAACGTAAACTATACATGATTACGCTTTAGGATTTTGCCAAACTTTTTCCATTTTATTTTGTTTTAACTTTTCGATCAATAAAATTGTTAATTTTCTTTCCAAAAACAACAATACATAACTCACCGTTTTTGTAATTTATCATCTGATGTCTCAGCCACATAAGTTCTTAGTTCATAGTCTACACCACATGGCTAGAAAAATAAATTATTATTTTGAAGTATACAATGCAAAATCACAGTTTTGAATAGTTTACAAATGTATAAATGTGTAAATAAAAATAGTTAGAGGACTTTCGATTGCATGTCTCAGAATCGGTTACAGTGGCGCAGATATATCGACTCTTTAATTTCCTATTTATTTTGTATTCAAGCAATCCTTTATATGTAACTTTTTGAACCCTGTCTTCTCAAACCATATTTCAAATGTTCAGTCATTCTCTTTATTAGTCCTACTAGAGTGTCTTGATCTCATTTGCTATCCACTTTGTTTATTTCATCTTGATGTGCTAATATCATATGCTAGCGTCTGATGAAGCACATCCAAGGCTCTATGTTGAGAAAGACTAGCTAGCACGAATATTATGATCACATTTCAATAGAAAGTTGAAACAGAATGGATATTTGGATGGTCTTTAGTTTGAACATCTATCTGTTCACTAAATAATATTTAATCAGCAGTTTAAGTACTTTGAGCAATGAGCATTGAATTGATGAATTTAAGGAGCGTTTGAAATACAAACTAAATCAAAGAACAAAAGTTTCATTTTATTATTTTCAGAAAAATTCCATGTACAAGAACATCTTGAAATTATCTGTGAACAAACACTGAATTCATATTTTATAGTCCACAAAACATTTCTAAATCCCAGATTTCATCTATAATTAAAAATTATTTATATCACAAGGAAATTTTGTTAGAATAATAAGTGAAAGTTGGACAATTAACACTGTTTTATCATTTTCTAAAAATTTACATTGGCATTTGTCAACGGTTTTTATCAACATTAGATTCATACTATTAATACTTCATATCAGCAATGTTAGTTTTGAATATCAGTATATGAAACCATTGGCATTATTTTCATACTGTATGAACTAGTGACATGGTAAAACCCGTTCCATGATGTCGTGATTCGTTTCCCAGAACTTGTCTGACATAATTACGTTAAATGTTCATATAAATTTACGTAAGACATTTGATAATTTGATCATCGGAAACACTAAGTCCTATGATTGTTTTGTGTTAAAAAAGCTAACAGTAGAACCTTGCACGATGGCTATAAGCCATGTTATGACTTTCCGATGTGGTTAGGATGACAGTCACTTGATACAAACACCATTCATATCCATTGGATATTACGATCCGATAACTGTTATAATTAGTCAGAATAAAACCATAATAAATTTAGAATTTATCGTATGATCAGAAGCATCATATCCTCAATAGCACTTGAAAATTTCAGAAAACTACAATTAATATCAATAAAGCATACGAAGCAAATCAGATTTTTAAGTGATTTGCTAAGGCTTGGTTATGGCGATAGATATAGTTTAGACGAAAGAAATGGATTTCAATTTAGGGAAACGATTTTCATGGGGACACTTTTTTTGACCAGAATATATTGCTTTATATCCCTAAACAATCCATGTTAAACAACATGAAATTATCTGTATTTGCAGTGACTTTATTATAAAAAGGAGAATAATGTTTGTACAAAAACCAACAAGGTAAACTTCAATGGGATATCTACGTATCAAAGCAACTAAAGGTAATGTGCTGGATAAAATGATAAAGCCATTAATAACACATTCACTGCCAGCAATTTGTACTATAGCGTTTATAAATTCATCGACTTTGGAAATTGATTTAATAGCTATTTTTGATGCACATTGTAAAGCATAAACTTGTTTACTCCAAGATACTACTAAAACGTTTTATTATTATAGTGCAAGTGAATTTTCTATCCCTGTAGTTACCTAATACTCCTTATCGACAAATGGATTAAAATTAGACGGATATGTAGAAATCTCGAGCAAAATTCGTAGTAGAAAGCAAACTATTTATTTTACTTACTTTGCCGCTCTCGTTTGGACCTGGCTGAAGTGTAACAGAAGCAGGTGCATCTGCAGGGAGCTTTAACAAATAAATGTATGCAAAACAAATCAATAGGAATCAATAAGTAGCCTGAAGGAAAAATGATATGAAACAAATGGATATAGCATAAGATAAAAGTTTGTTTTCTAATATCTAAACACAAGCTTAGGAAAGGAAACGATAAAACCTCAGAAGGTTTATTGTTCATTTCAAAAAGTAAAACCTGTCGTTTCTTATTTAAAGTCATTTTGTATACAGACTTCTATAATCATCAAAACTATTTTCGGTTATTCTTTATTTTCTCGTGTAAAAATACTGGTTTACAAAATATTGGATAGTGTGTTTTTGTTTGACACGGTAAAGCATCCTGTTAAATTTAGAAAAACATCGTTGTTTGAGTTAAATATCTCTTCTAAAAATACGATCACTAAAATTTTGAATTGTCTGGTTAGTAAAATATTACCAAGCATCTCAAGACGTTGTCCAATACCAGTAAACCATTTTGACCAACCTGAAGTAAATCCCCCACCTTTAACCTTGTGGATCATTTTGGAATACCCTATATGTATTTTGCTAAAACGAATGCTGCACAAAAAGCCTTATTTCCAACATTTTTTGTGAATTTAATGGCAAGTTTTACACATGATCTGAAAGAATAATGGGTGTATAAAAAGGCAGTCATTCAACCTACACAATTCTTTAATTTTTTCACACTAAATATATTTAGCGTAAACCAATGTATGAGTCACGAGATAATAAACGAGACCTCAGTTTGTCTACAAAATCACTCCATAAATAGAAAGAAATTAAACTTAGGCGAATTTCAAAACTGGTTGAAAAAAAATAAGTGTTTCTTTGCCATTGTAATTAGCCCATAACACCCGACATTTATAGTCTATGGGAGGGAAGGTAGTAAGCCCCTCCACAATTATCTTCATCAAGCACAGTTTTGAATTCATATCAAATAAACAGCTGGTTCTTTAATCCATTTCATGCTCAATGTCATTTTAAGGTGATGCACAATGTCGTATGTAATTTCAGTAAAGGTGTTCATGAGTTTGACTTAAAGTTCGTAAAGTAAAACGTTTTGTCAGAGTTGTTTTGAGAATACAAAATGTGCAATTATCTCCTTATCAAAACATGCCCTCCAAACTACATCATGCATAAATACATTTGGGCACTCCAGCAATCTGTATCAGCTCAACTAACCGCTTTCCAATTAGCTGTAATTGTTCAAGCAATCAAGACATTTCTTTTAGTGAGTCTTCCTATTTCTGTTTTGTTTGTTAATTTTATTACTGGGCAAACACAAGACTACAAGCTTATTACTATGGAAGAAACTTTACGAAAGTTGGGTTATTTTTACGTTTGATCTTTAAAACACCTTACAGTTGCACAAATACGGGCTATTTGCAACTATAACATGTAGCAACTAGTAACTAAATGTGGATTATCTGTTAAGATATATATATGTATATAATGGTTTGAAAATCTCGAAAGATTATCATCAATTTACAATTTACGGTGAAAAATACTCAAAGGATTTATCGAATACAGTCGCTAATGAGGAAAACATTATTTTAAAGCCGTAAGACGACATGTTTTCGGACATAAATGTTGTCATTTACAAGCTTGTGCTGATAAAATTTGAAAATCTTGTGAATATGGCAGTATTTTAAGAATGTCATTCTTGTTACTTTTGGGACCTAGGAACTATTTTCGGTACGAAAAAAATTCAAGGTTAAAAGCTTACCTTGAAGTAAAATGGAAAGGCGTTACTGCCTAATTTTTTAATCAGACGTTCTTGTAGTCTTGTTAATGGAAGAGAACCAGAATGTAAACTATCATCTGTTCCTTCAGAAACTTCCGGTCCAGGAGGCTTGGAATTTCCACAAACAGCTGTACTTGTCGGATTTAATAGAACCGTTCCACAGTTATCTGCTTCGGATGCATAAACAGGAGGATAAACTTGAGCCGAGGCTAGATATAGATCCTTGCGAAACGTTAACCCAAGTACGTCCAAATCTTCACGCCCATAACGAAAAGCTGATAAGACGTGAGTAAACACCTTCCGTCCCTTGACATACTCTGGGTCAACTAATACGACACCCTCTGAAATTAGGAATCGAATGCAAATCACGCAAACTTTGAATTACATTTTCGTAAATTCTTTTTGATTAACATGACTACCTATGCTTATATTACTAAAGTGGTTTCAATATCCACGAGGAAACTAAGAGTCCGACATCTAAATGTCTGTAATGCAGCGTCACAAACTTATTTTTTAAATGTTCATCTGGCGTCTGATATAATCCAAGAAAAACATCTGATAGAAATCTTTGTACCCATCTTTCAATTTTTTCAATTTTAGCTAAAAAAAGATTTCCCAATAGGTCACTGAAAGTACATCTATAGATTTAGAAGTGCAATCGTTATGCAAAGAAATGAAATCATAAAGCACTGGCTGAGTATTATTAAACCATCCTAGAGAAAATTTGGGTTATCATGAGGTCTTGCAATATTTAAGTACAGCATGTGACATCCAAAAATACGTGGTTTCTCTGACGCCGCCAACCCTCAATAAGTACCAACAGACATGCAACAGGTGGAGCAAAAAGTTGCTGCTACTATGTGCTTGATATAAAAACAGTAAATATGTCATTTGTACATATAATACATAAAAGTATATTTCCAAATGTATATTAAACTCAAATAAGTTGAACAAGCCTCACCAATCGGGTCTATATCCGCCAGACTGTCGATGAAATCCCTTTTGCACAAGTATGTTGTAATCTACGAGAAAATACAGTTAAAACCATCATTACTTTTCCATTCGGGCTGCTTTTCTTGAAGACCCTATAATAAAGAAGTGAAGAAAGACGCCACAAACCAACCTGGTACCCTGTTTCTTGTGAGGATTATTTCCACTGTCGTCCATAATATCATAGCGTACTTCAGCTAATTAACAAACTAACATTTCCCAAAACCAACGAAGACACCAATCGACGTCAAATTGGCGCTTCCCTTTCATTCATTATATTTAACCTAGGAGTTATTTTCTGATGTAAAAAAACAAAATAATTAATTCCTTTAAGAATGGCTATGTGCAGCATTTTGGGAGAGACAAAAAAACCAAGATTTGAAACGATATTTTGAGATGATATTACTGTCCATCAAAGAAGCTCGTGTATTTTGTGCAACCATTATCACACTTTTGTTCAATCTTAAGCACCAGAACTTATAAAAACGAGTCATAAAATTACGGAACCGAAAGTTATTTGGTGAATTAAACTTTTAAAAGTACCCAGACCAGTTAGCGATCGCAATCTACTCTTCTGTATTACTATAAATATGATGAGAGGAGAGGTTTAAGTTTGGTGAGTAAGTATTTATACATAACTTGCAACAAAATAACCACAGTTCATTTGACGTTATTATAAAAAACTATGGCTGCATAATTGATTTGACTGATATTTCGTGAAGAAAGCATTTGTGTCTATAATGATACTGAAATTTTATATCTGAGTTAGCATGTTATAGATTGTCTTAGTAGTGAAGATACGAGTAGTATTCTGATTTTACAACCTGCTACCAGTAGCACCTTCTATATGCGAAGCTTTCCCCCGACCAATAGAAATCAGAAGTCAGACGAGAAGAGGTAGGAAAGATATATCTGATACGTTATCAATATGTCGCGAAGCGTTTATTCTAAGCTGGCTCGTGATCGTAGGAGCAGTGCCGCACGCTGGGTCGAATCGTGATCTAGTGCGGATGCATGACCGAAAGCCTTCAGTTAAACAAGTCCACTTACACAATGTGGTCAGCATCCAATGTCGAACACTTAATGAGCAATTGATTTTGGGGAATTATTTACAGCTACAGTAGGATAGCAAATACTGCATAAAATTAGAAACATAAGTCTGGATGACAAGAGTAGAACGACCTCAATATCACTGATTGATTGACTTGTTCTCAACAAACAGAATGTTCTGCCCCACAAAGATGGGTGGATTGAAGTCATTGCCCCCACCATCAATGCTTGCTGGTCAGTAACTCCACCCTCCCTCCTTTTGTGATGTTGGGCTCATTCAAGCTTATTTTTTGGGTATAAATCTTATCTACACTGTCGTGTGTATCTGGGCGTTGGGTAAGAACTACATTACAAGTGGAGTAAGTAAGCTTCCTGAGGAATTTGAAGTAGAGGGCTAAATTGGTCCTCAGCCTCCTTATCCAAAGAGGTTCAAACCCTAGCATATGGCATCGGGAACGATAGTCAATTACAGAATCAACTTGAAGCATTTTGCGACTGAAATCCCGTTGTTGGAAAAAAAGAACCAACAATATTCAATTATAGATCTTACACATATCTTGTAAAGAACGACTCTGATTTCGTTATGAGGAAAGTTATGAAGAACGATGCCTAACAATATCCACATTTTAGATGATTTAGCGGATATACATCCAGAGAAGCTTAGACTGTGAGGTCAATGAACCCCAAAGTCAGTAAATTCTCGTTAAGTGTTGGTTCCCCTTTAAAGGACGTGTCTTTATTACACAGCCAACCAAAGTACAGTATAACCACTAGTTTCTTTTAGTAATGTATGCGAGCAACCTCTTCAAAGAAGTTCATAAGTCATGCATTGCAGAACCTTCTTCTAATGAGACCTTGTAGCAAGGCTCGAGTAAACTTCCGTTAAGTAGGTGATTAGATAATTGGTCTCGTACCACTTTTTTCCGTTGTGAGTGATATAGTTTGGGTGATATTTATAGGACTGCAGTTTTCTATCAGGTTTTTTGGTCCTGATATGTGTTTGGGGACAACATACTTTACCTTCCAGTGTTCGGGATATGTACCTTTCTCTAGAATTATGTAAATATTTTAAGTAATAGTGTCCTTATGTTCGGTCCTGACATTTTGTAAATAGTCTACGAGATGTCTTCTGTTCGGGAACTTGAACTCCGTCAATGTTTTGATAACGGCGTTAGTTGTACTAAGATCACTTCTGTTTACGCACTTGATGTTAATGTCTGGCCCATGAGATTTATTTCCATTGTGGTAAAATTATTTATTTGGCAGATCATGTATTACAGTTTGGTCATAATGTGTCACGACATCATACAGTTTAGAGTGAATGTAGTGATCTGCACTCTTTTTCATGTGCTTTTCAAAACAAAGACATAAATTTCGGGATTTATATGCAGTAGTGAGCGCAGTACATTCATCTGCATGTCTATATTTATCATGTTGATTTCACATTACCTCAAGTACAGAGTATGTTCTGTGCAGGGCACTGAAATCTTTTCGTATACAATACATCCATTTTAGTTTTCGTAGTCTAGACCACAATTACTTGGTTGATGCAAGAAATAATAGTTTTAAAAGCAATTTTGGATAAGATGGTAGTGTCTGTTCAGGATTTAGTGGTGATACTGAATATTTCCAGTGTTTCTGAGAGCTTGTCACTAGCAAAGAAACTGCTCCAGTTACAGTGCTTCATTAGATATGGTAAGTCTTCCCAGTTAGCCTGTGCTCATTCTCTATATTAAAAACGCGTAGTCATTGTCTTGGATTCGTTGCGGAGAAGTTTCTAATGATCTCTGTTGCGAAAACACCCCAGATGTTGGTATGACATTGTGAGAAAATATCAAGTTGAGAATGATGTGCTTTGGTGTACATAAGTGTATATTTTGTTGCCAAACGTGTATGTTTAAGGAACCAAGTATATTTTCGAACCACAATAGACCAGTGTGTCATCCAGTTGATGCTGAGAAGGTTGAAATCACAACAAATAATTTTGCAGGCGAAACCGAAGGAGTCAGTCTTAGGAAAGGACCCACTTATAGTAGTGTCCGTTGAATTAGGAGTATTCTGGAACATCATATATACATCTAACCAATAGTTTGCATTCATAAGCGTGTACAGTATGCCATATCGATTCAGGCAATTTTCTGAAGGTAGCACCGTCATAAATTTCCACTCTTACATTTTGATATGGATATATAAGACAACCGCAACCCTTGTAACGACCGAATCACTAATATTCGGTTCGAACGCATAACTAACAGACCAAATTTTATTCGCCCGACCGTTGCTGCTACCTTGACGTGGTGGTCGGGCTTGCCTATCGTGATGATCCAATCGCGCTATGCTGGCTGGGACAATCGTTCCTCAAGGTCCTACCATGCCAGACAGGTCGGTTGAAGAGCGGTGAGACTAAAAGCAGCAAACCCAAGGTCCGAAGGCGAAGTCGTACTGCTGACTGTACAGAGGTGTGAAAGCAGTAAGGTGTTTCCTTCAGACAACCAGCATGACAGCGATGCTGCCTTCCCACAAGGAGGGGTGGGGTTGGAAAAGGTCGACCCTAAAAATGCACGCCTCGCCTTATCCCACGGATTTCCGTCTCCGGCGGTAAGGACTTTTGAAGAACGGAGCTAACACATCAAAAATCCCTCACAAAAAGGCCGTGCGTGACCGGCCTCAAGCAGATGTCCCTTGGGCACTGCGGTCACGCTCCCAGGTCGTTAAGACCAACACTAATCCAACTTCTTTTTCAGGTCCCTCAAGAAATACCCTTCCACGGTGTGGGCAGCCGGGAAGTGATACTAGCCCTCATACCCTTAACTGCACACGAGACCAAGTTGGTCGCTTTCAAATCCTTCCTACACCTAATAGCTCTGTTATCTCCACGACTAACCCTTCCCACGTCCTTTTATCACCTCGCACCGCTAGGGCAAACGATTCGAGTACACAGAACGTTATTCCTGGTCTCCTGAAACCACGCTCTAAACTACATATAGGAACTTTTAATGTCCGAACATTGTGCCAAATAGGACAACAGGCTTCCTTAGCTAGGACTCTAGAATCTTACACCATCGATGTGTGCTGCGTCTCCGAAACGCGCATACAAGATCCGAGTAGTGTCATTCATTTGACCGCACCTAATCAAAATAAAGATTCATCTCGATACACGCTTCGTGTATCTGGAAGCCCTGATGCTGCTTCCCGTGGCCTCGCTGGAGTAGGTATAGCATTGAGTCCTAGGGCAGAACTAGCTCTTTTAGACTGGATCCCAGTAGACAGTCGTCTATGCGCTGTCCAACTAAACGGATCAGTAAGGACCCGGAAAGATAGGGAAACTCGTCGTTGCCTCTTCGTCGTCTCTGCCTACTCTCCCACTGACTGTAGCTCAGACGATATAAAAGATGAGTTCTACAGGAAACTTTCTGACCTTCTCCGAGAAGCTAGACGTTCTGATGTAGTAATAGTAGCAGGTGACTTTAATGCTCAAGTAGGTAAAGTAAGTGAAAGGGAAAGACACCTGGGTGGATCTTATGGTGTCATGGCGAAAAGAACAGATAATGGCGACCGTCTGTTGCAGCTATGTTCAGATAACCGCCTATTTCTTGCAAATACTAACTTTAAGCATAAGGAAAAACATCTTTTGACATGGCGACCCCCGAATTCGTCCCAACGTTGGATCCAATTAGATCACATCGCTATCAGCCACCGATGGAGGGGCTCGATAGAAGACTGTCGCTCATTCTGGGGCACATGTTTAGATTCAGATCATGCTCTAGTGCGAGCACGTATCTGTCTGCGTCTTACTGGTCGTAGGAAAGACACTGCAGGGAAGCCTCTAAGGGTTCTACTTAATGATAGGCAAGCTAAAAATATATTTCAGGAACAACTAGAAAAACAGTTAGGCAGCCATGTAAGTTGTGTCCACCCCGAGGCAGCGTGGAATGACATCCGAAAAGCTGTAGAAACAGCAGTGATATTCGCTAGTAAGGTAAACCATAAGGTTAGGGAGAAACAATGGATCTCGGCAGCATCTACCGCACTGATAGATGCTCGAAAACTCATCCCACCTGGCTCTGAGCATAACGAAGAGCGGAGTCAACTTAAGCGCAGGCTTATAAGAAGCCTACGTAATGATCGTGAACAGTGGTTGGTAACGAAAGCAAGAGAGATGGAAAAGGCAGCGGCAATAGGTAACAGTAGGCAGCTATTCAGACTCGTTAAAGAAACCGGTATTAGGAACCCGAATATCAGTGAAACCATCTCAGATAAAGATAAGCATATTATTCATTCTCAATCCAGGAGATTGGATCGATGGGCAGAACACTTTAGGGATCAGTTCAACTGGCCTTCAGCCACACTTCAATTACCCACGATCCCCAGTCGTCCTGAATGGCAAATTGTTGTAAGTCCTCCAACCCTCTGTGACGTTAAAAAAGCTATAGGAAATCTGAAGCGAGGGAGAGCAGCAGGTCCTGACAGGTTGACCCCTGAGATTTTTAAGGATGGTGGTCCAGTACTAGCAGTGAGATTGACTGAGGTCTTAGGTAGAATCTGGGAACTGGACGTAATTCCATCTGACTGGTCCCCATCATTGATTGTGCCAGTCTATAAGAAAGGACAAAAGTCCTCCTGTGACAATCACAGAGGAATCAGTTTGACTAATATAGTGTCTAAAATATTAGCTTCAATAATACTAGGTCGCCTAACCAAAGCTCGTGAAGAGCAGACTAGAGAAAACCAGACTGGTTTTCGACCTGGACGTGGTTGCATAGACCAGATATTCACCCTACGTCAGGTTCTAGAACATAGACACAAATTCAGACGTCCCACAATAGTAGTATTTCTTGACCTTAAGGCGGCATTTGACTCCGTTGATCGTGAGGTTCTATGGCGGTGTTTGTCAGTGAAAGGAGTACCAAAGAAGTACATTAACCTCTTAAAGGCTCTCTACTCGAACCCAACTGGTCGAGTTAGAGCCTATGGCGAACTGTCATCAGAACTGATTACCACAAGTGGCGTTCGTCAGGGCTGTCCACTCTCCCCATTCTTGTTTAACTTTGTCATTGACATACTTTTAGAGATAACAATTTCATCAGCTAAACCTCCAGGAGTTGAACTTTTACCAGGAGGCTCACTTGTTGACTTAGAATACGCCGACGACATAGTTTCACTCGGTGAAGACGCTGACAACATTCAGAGTCTTCTGACCACTATAAGCAACTATGCAGGCATGTTCGGGATGCGATTCTCTCCCTCGAAGTGCAAAATGTTACTTCAAGATTGGATTGCAGCGACACCTGAACTAATGATAGGGAGTGAAGTAGTTGAGCGTGTAGACCACTTCACTTATCTTGGGAGTCTCATCAGCCCTTGTGGTCTGGTATGTGACGAAATCTCAGCACGGATACAGAAGGCTCGTCTAGCTTTCGCCAACTTGCGTCATTTATGGCGTGGGCGAGATATCCGTCTAGCAACCAAAGGACGGGTTTACTGTGCAGCAGTTCGCTCCGTCCTACTTTATGGCAGTGAAACATGGCCAATAAGAGTAGAGGATATTCGTAGGCTACTAGTGTTCGATCATAGGTGTCTTCGAAGCATTGCTCGTATATCCTGGGACCACCGGGTAAGTAATGCAGTTGTTGGGAAACGAGTACTAGGTAGGGATGGCAAATCGATTGATGAAGTAGTGAAACTTCATCAGTTGAGATGGCTGGGACATGTGTTACGTATGCCCGACCACCGACTGCCCCGACGTGCAATGTTTCATAGTGTAGGAGTAGGTTGGAAGAAAGCTAGGGGTGGCCAGACCAAAACGTGGCACAAATCAATGAAGTCACTGACAAGTGGACTGGGCCATGTTGGTAGGTGTAGACTACCTGGTTGGGATTCGCGAGATGATAGCAACCGATGGTTAGAGACTTTGAATGACATGGCTCAAAATCGTTTGCAATGGCGAAGATGCATCCACTCTTTGTGTTCTACCAAATTCTAATCTTCTGAATTCCTCATGTCTTTATCTTTTTCTCTTTCCAAATTTATTTCACTGTACTATACTCCTTCAATAATTTCTTCAAACCCTAATCTTTTGGATTTCTGATTATACTCCTACTACTTCTACCACTATGGGATTTGAATCGACAACTGCATCTCTGTGCTAATGTGGTATGGCAACTCGAACTGATGTACGTACTTACGAAGGTCTACGTTGTGACTGACTGACTGAAATTTTATTCGATTACGCAATACTTTGTCCTTCTGTATAGCATGCAAAGCGTTTTGGAGTGACTCGAAGTAAATTATATCAAAACGCAAACTCTGTGTCCAATTTAAAAGATTCTAATTTGATAAGGAGAATAAACCATATCAAAATGCGAAATACCTAGAGAGGTTTCTCAGAGCTCATCATGCAGGTTCCAGGCTTTCATTAAACTATCCACAACATTACTGTGCTTTAACACTTCGTAGGACCCTTGTGGAGCCTACACCAGTCCTGCACTCGAGTGGAAGTAGGAGAATTGGGAGTAGGGTTAGTAACTTCATATTGTTAAAAATTCCAGTCGAAAAACGGTAGCCAGAAAATGATTTCAGCCATTCTGAGTCTGCCCTTTAAGTTAAAGGGTATTTAGTTACAAGAGTTATGACGTCTCGCGATCAAAGCCGAGAATGTTCAGAAGACATGAAGCATGCATACGAAACTGCTAAGTTGGATTTCACTGCTAGTCACACATCAAATATACTGAAAATTGTAACTGAAGGATGAGTCGAGGAAACCTATTTGTAGTTCACCACTAGGCACAGGGGTTCATTAACTGCAGCCCTAAATCCTAACAATGTCAACTATCAGGACATTGGCAGCAACTACAATTCACTTCCACACTTCAATTATGTACCTATGTGATTACCTTCAAATTCATGTTATCAAGAATAATTCCTAATTGGATATTCCCAGGAGTTTTCCTTGGTATATGGGTGAATAATCAAAGTGGTACGCGGATTACTAGAAACTAGCAGAGTACTGAGGAAATGCAAAGAACATGTAGTTCAGGATATTGAGATGTAGAGGTATTAATTATAACGATATAGTGGTTTTCGAGTATATATAATTATGGTCTGTGTCTGTAGTGATACATTTATCTATGCTATTAGAATATTGCTCTATACTACTCAGTCAAATCAGATACCAGGGACGAAGGAGCTAGAAGATATCTTTGGAAAGTTGCCAATATGTTGAGCAGCGTTTGTGCTAAGCTGGCCAGTGGACGCAAGGGATGTGTAACATGGCCTACACACTCATGATCTGGTGTGGATGCGTAACCGAGAGCGTTCAGCTAGAGTATCTCCAGTAAAACTAATCAGGTCACTAACAGAACTTCTTATTTTGCGGATTTGCCTCTACAAAGGTTTAGTTGTTTCTGCCTACCCACGAACTACTAAAACACGTGGCCAAGCATATGCTTTTAATATTTTGTAGGTGTGTTATAGCATCAAAAGTATCACAATCTACAAAAATAAAATATTTTCTCTTCTGTCTTTTCAATTATAATTGACCTTCATATATACAAATGTCAGCGCAGACAAAACAAACGCGTAGCGTAGTCGGATTCGAGGTGTCAGATATTGGAGGTCTTCGGAGAGTGTTTGCAAAACCAACGTTTAACAGTGACAAATGTATGTAGGACATGACTCCTTGTTGTGTTTCCTGTTCAAGTTTTGCTCTTTAGTGTTACCCCTTACATAATTGAGTTTAGTATATATCTATACATTATAATATCAGTAGTGTTTTGAGCTTTTTGAACTCTTGGACTCCTAGTAAATAAAATTAGTTTAGTCATACGGCTGAGTGAAAAGCAAGTGCAACTAGAGTATTGTCACATGACTTCATCTCTCATTATTACATGTAACTTTGCTTTACTATCTGATTTTTAACTTCAGAAACCTCAGTAAAAGAATATCACTTTAGTTTGCCTAACGATTCTGATATTTTTGATCTCTTCAGTTGCGAAAAATGTATCAAAAAGTGGAGATGCGGCTACTAGGAATATGCTGGAAAAAGTTAACACTATATCCTCTGAAGCTGCCGGCAAGATGAAACGTGCAGTTTTTGAAAATTACAAACTGTTTATTAAAGCTGGTAAAGCCGCTAGCCAATTAGAAAATACAATGCATCAAATTCACAACGAATTTACTGAAAAGCAACGTGTAATGAAAGCTCTTACAGAGCTATCTTTATTTGGTGGTAAGATTTTCTTTTTTAAGTTGCTTGTTTTTCTGTATGTACATTATACTGAATAATTCAGCATCTCATTATCCTAATAGAGTTAACTGAGCTTTCGGCCGTAACTTTTAGTATCTGTAGCTGCTGGGATTGAATTTGCAGTATACTTACGCTTAATCTCAAAGTATTTATGTTTGCCTGGTTACCTCTCAATTTAGTTCTAAAATGTTCACAGGAGTTCATGATTAGGCTATTTCATGATCCAGTGTAGCGAAATGACCTAATTTCTCTGAATTGTGGTCATGATTTTAATATCGATATCGCAAAACTCGTGACTCAAACATTCGTATTCGACCTGACTGGCCACTTGAGGATCGGATCAAGTGGAAGAATGCCCTAACAGAGTTAAAAACTCGAAGGCTAAACGGTGAAGCGAACCTTATGATTAAGGGTTTTCGGGTAGTCAGGTCTTGGAAGCCAATGCTTCCGAGACCTGTGTGGGTAGAACGCATGTCTCCAAAAACACCCTAAATGTGTGTTATACGAATGCTCGTAGTCTTCGGAATAAGATGTCTGAACTAAGTTTGATGGTAGACGACTTAAATCCGGATATAATTGTTATCACCGAAACTTAGCTCACTGTAGATATAGACTGTTCTCCAGTCATTTCAGGCTACATCTGTGTCAGAAGTGATAGAGTTAGAAGTCGCAAGGGAGGAGGCATAATATTATATATTAGGGACCACTTCCGCATTAACTCGATCATATCGGAGGCGCATGTAAGTGGTACGTGTGAGGTAGTATGTTGTACAATTAGGTCTAGAAACGGGTTAGTGACGATAGGAGGAATTTGTCGTAGTCCGTGTTGTCTCGCTGACGACTTTATCCTAAAACACGTCTGTTCTTGGAGTAAAGCAGAATGTTGTCTCATCGTTGGAGATTTCAATGCACCCCATATAAACTGGATAGAGCTCACAGCTCCGGGTGGGGGTTTCGATAGCGTCCTTCTGTCATCAATTATTCAATGTGCACTTGTACAATGTATCGTTAAGCCAACACATATAGACTTGGAACATAATCCGTCATTGATAGACCTTGTCCTCACACACCACTGTGAAGATATCGTTGACATTCAACATCTTCCCCCACTGGTGAATAGTGACCATGTCGTACTTTCCTTTAAGTTCCGGATACATGGTATAGAATTTGCATCAGCTCCACCCCGTCCTAATATCTGGAGAGCTAATATTCCGGCAATCAGGGACTATGCTATCTCAATTGACTGGTCGGTCGATGCTGATGGATCGATTGATGATGCATGGAATAGGTTTAAGTCTACGTTCGAATCCGTAACTCAACCGTTTATCCCATGGTCAGCACGTAAGTTATCATATTGCCCTCCATGGATTAATAAGGAAACCCGGAAGCTGTTGAAGCGTAGGAAACACTTCTGGGACTTATTCTTGTCAACAGGTCAGGCATCATTTAAGTGCGAATATAAAAAAATCCGGAATATATGTAAAAAGACCATAGCTAAATCCCGCACGGCTTACGAACGACAGTTGGCATACGATAGCCGTACCTGTCCGAAGCGACTGTTTTCGTACTTTAAAAGGCGGACGAAACGTAGTGATGGTATCCCCTCATTACTGTTAAGCGAAAATTCAGCTTTATTGGCTGAATCTGATCTGGCGAAAGCGGAGTTATTTGCTAACTATTTCAGTGAAGTCTACTCTACGTGTAGTGTTACAACTACTTGTCCCGTTGACAATGAGATACCAGCCATAGGACCTTTACACGTGACAGAGGATATAGTTCTTCCTTTGATAACTAACCTAAAACCTTGTAAGATACCGGGCCCCGATGGGTTACACCCACGTTTGCTGTCGTCGCTTGCGGACATTATCTCAAGACCGCTCACGATGCTCTTCAACATGTCCCTTTCACAGGCTCAACTACCTAGAGACTGGAAAGACACCATAGTTAGTCCTATATTTAAGGATGGTCAGAGACGGATAGTATCTAACTACCGGCCTGTTAGCCTGACCAGTATAGTAGTTAAGTTACTTGAAAAATTAATTCGGGCTAAGCTACTGAGTCACATTGATTCGTACAATCTGTTAACTCCCGAGCAACATGGGTTTCGTAACAAGCATTCATGCTTGACTAACTTACTCATTGCGAGAGAGGATTGGACAGCTGCACTAGACAACGGCCAGTCTGTCGACGTGATATTTATAGATTTTAGCAAAGCGTTTGATAAGGTTTCACACTTAGGTCTTATGCAAAAGCTCTCGAGCTTTGGTATAACAGGTGCTATACAGGAATGGATAGGAAGCTTCTTATGTGACCGCAGACAGAGAGTGAGAGTCAATGGAACTCTATCCGAATGGAAACCGGTCAAAAGTGGTGTACCCCAAGGCACCATCTTGGGCCCTTTACTTTTCCTTCTGTATATTAATGAACTACCTTTATTACTTAAGTCGTCGACGTTATTGTTTGCGGATGATGTTAAAATCTGGAGAACAATAAGAAATGAGACTGATCGTTGTTATCTACAAGCAGATTTAGACGAATTAGTTAGGTGGGCTCATGATTGGGGCCTGGAAGTTAATTCTAGGAAGAGCGTGTTCATGCACATCGGGCACGATATTAGTTACCACAATACCATTAATGGTACATCTCTGCCACGCGTTCATGCGCATAAAGACTTAGGAGTAATTATAAGTCACGACTTAAAAACTACAACGCACTGCAGTGCGGTTGCTTCCAAAGGCTATCGCGCGCTATGGTCGCTTCGCAGAGCATTTAAATGCTTTGACGAGGATATGTTTCGAATTTTATATCCCACCTATGTAAGGCCACACTTAGAATACTGTATCCAAGCAGCTAGCCCTTGTCTGATAAAGGATACTAAATCGCTTGAGCGTGTCCAGCGTGTAGGGACAAAATTAGTAAAGGGTCTTTCCAAACTCCCTTACGATCAGCGTTTAAAGCGTCTAAATCTTTTCCCCTTATCTTATCGTAGGACGCGAGGTGACCTTATACTGGCATTTCGTATCTTTAATTATGATCTGGGTTTTAATATGTCCTACCTTTTTGCTCCCTCCAGCACTAATAATCTCCGGGGTCATAGCAAGAAGGTTCTGAAACCGCGATCTAATAAACTAAAGGTGGGGTCCCGTTTCTCTCATCGAGTGGTCAATGACTGGAACGCTTTACCAGAACAAGTGGTATCAGCACCATCAGTGAACATTTTCAAAAAGAAGCTGGACCTTCACTGGAAGGAAATCTGTCAGGATTAACACAGGTTCATCAACCTACTATCCTTATTACTGAAGACTGAAGACTAATCTCAAAGTATTTATGTTTGCCTGGTTACCTCTCAATTTAGTTCTAAAATGTTCACAGGAGTTCATGATTAGGCTATTTCATGATCCAGTGTAGCGAAATGACCTAATTTCTCTCAATTGTGGTCATGATTTTAATATCGATATCTTCTACCGGTTATTCGGTGGGATTAAACTATACTGCCGAGCCAATGAGAAGCTTTCGCGGGTTTTCAAGGTCACGGCGCTAAGTTCGGTACCTGATGCTTACGTACGGTTAGTTTACAGCGGATTTCAGGAAAGATGTGATAATTTAGCGTCTACAATAGAAGTGATCATAAGATTTTGGCGCGAAATTCAATTATCCATTTGGATAAATAGAGTTTTGGCATTATAGCTGATGTCAGTTCGTGATGAAAACCCTAAGTATAATTCCTAGCCTTAATCATGAACTGTAAATCATAATTTGTATTCTTCACACAGGTTTATAACCCTCATTTGGTCCTAGTTATTATGTTGACACTCTCAGAGTCACTCTAGCGTCGCTCAAAGGTTGTCCATAACTTATAGTCTCACTCATAACCCTACACCTAAATCTTAACTCTAACCCTAACTCGTAAACCATACCAATATACTAACATTATTGAAGCTATGTGGTCGGGGCTAAAAGAATTTTTGAGACCTTATCACGGTTTCAGAGGTCGACTACTATGGAGCCATATGGATGTGTTCCTGTACCATATGCACTGAGATTTAAAAACTTCTGAACCTATATCTGACCTTGAGAAGTTTTTGACCCATGTAAAAGAAGTGTTTCCACTTTAATTCTTTGGTTTTGTATAATATATTTTTACTGTATACTAACTGTCTTCTGATTGGCTAATATTTCTCAAGGTCATTTAAAATTCGTTCAAAGGTCGGCAGTATAGTTTAATGTTACCGGTTATTCTATTCATCTTGAGTGGTCTTGTTTACTGGTAACCGGCAAAGCGACCCAATTATTGTGGTTTATGAGAGTATCATATGGTTTGTATTTTCTTCCTAGTACACTCAAAAGTTTTCTTGGTAGCTTTCGTGAGAAAACATCAACTCAGTATTACGTATTTATTTATAGAACAGTGGTCTTGAGTGCTGCTGTCTTCATCGACTGAGATGGCTGGGCCACGTGTTACGTATGCCTGAACACCGATTACCACGACGCGCTATGCCGACTAGTGTAGGAGATGGTTGGAAAAGAGTTAGGGGCGGCGAAATCAAAACGTGGCATCAGTGCTTAAAATCACTAACTTCTAGTCTGAGCCATGTTGGTAGATGCAGACTACTTGGTTGGGGTCCGCGTGACTATCGTAACCATGTTTGGAGACTGTGACATGTCTCAGAATCGATCACAATGGCGTAAGTGTATACACTCTTTATCTTCTCTTGAACCTTAACATTAAAATTGCTTCATATCTGTCTTCCTGTACTATATCCTTATATACAACCTTTTTTTTATATATTACCACCACTAAATTTACTACTTCTATGAATTCGGTGTTCATCTTGTTGTGCTAACGAGGTATGGCAACTTGCACAGATGCATATGTGTGCCTGGTCCTACGTTGTAGCTGACTGACTTATTCATAGAAAAGTTAGTGAATCTTATGAGTTATGTGGAGAGCCTGTTTAAAATGATTGTTGCACCAGATTTGTATAGTTATATTTCCATGAATAAACTGTTACTAAGCTCTCGTTATCCATTGATTGATTATTTAATGTCGACTGTCCATTGTTTTTATGACTTTGTCTAAGATGCTTCTTTTACTAAATCGGATATAATTATTTCATGAGGTTGGAAAGGGTCGGAAAAACAACAAAATTGACCTTTACCAGTACTAAAGTATCTTCTGACATTGAACTCATTGCTCATTAATAACTGCATTCCCAAAATAGCCTGAGATCGTTTTATCGTTAATTCTATGGGCTTCTTATGTAATAAACGGCTGCACAACCATCATTTCGTAATTTTCAGATAAATAGTTCTTAAAGCTACTAAATTATCGTCAGCACATTATTTGTGAATATACTTATCGACAAGTCATGTGATGAGAACTTGTTAGTATCCCTTATTTATTTTTGTCCATTTTTATGGGTCAGGTGGCTTCGTAAAGGCCGTTTGTGAGTACTGCTTATCACACTATGCTATTATTTCAATACTAATTACTAACGAAAAGTAAAATCTTTTAACTTTTCATAATCTTTAATCCTCGCCACTTATTTTACGTGAGCTTAGCAGACAGAAATGTATTGCTTACTCATTCATAAGAATTGTTACAATAATAGATCGAATTGTTGTTTACTTTCTCATATTTTCAAGACATTATCACTGATGTGTCTGCTTCAGAACGTGCTATGTCCATCTCACAGGTTGACGAAAAAGCTGAAAACTTACCCAGTAGTGAGTATTCTGGAATTTCGGCAACCCAACTGGCCGAACTGGTAGAGGGAGCTTCCGTAAGTTTATTTGCTTTTAAAATTTAGATATGTCGCGATCGTTTATCACTTATACTTGTAAAACGAGGAACCACTGCAATTCCTACGACGCAAAAGTAAAAATACATAGGCTGGTACAAGTGAAGATTTATTAACCCCAAAACACGACCCTAGTCGGAAATACTTTCATATATTGATTGTACACTTGTTTCAATTATTAATTAGAATGAAAACACATATATGAAAAATACTTAGAGTCATAACAAATCATATGCTACATGTCATACTGAGCTTACTACTTGTTAATTTAATATAATAATATCGTATCTTGGAAAAAGTCACAACGAATAGAATAATGTAATTTCGCTTTTTATTCCCAACATATTAACCAGACATTCTATTGTGGGACCGATAGAATAAGTTCGTATTACGGATTAGACTACCCCATTTGAAGTTTATTTACGAATTATCTGTTGTAAAACTAGTATTGCACCCTATCTTTGTTCCTTCAGGTCACCGAAGAATGTTAAAAGTTTTTCCCAAATATGATTTACGAAACCCACGATTTTCCTTCTAGATTGAAACGTGTTGTTTTTCTTGTATGAGTTTTACAAAAAGCATATTTATTCTAGCTGTATGTTTTTATTATGGCAATCTTGACGTCCTCTTCCGTACAAACTGTGATTAGGAATTCTAGCACCTTTGATACACAGTTGATGTAGTTAATTGTTTGTTATCGCTCGTTTTTATAAGTCAAGCTGGTTGCTGTTAGTTAGTTTGACTAAATGGAGATCCCAATCATAATTTTTACGATGAATTACTCCTACTTTTAAAGAATGGTTAGTTATTTCAATTTGCACTTAATACTTTACCCCTATATCATGCTTTTACGTCACTTCCTAACTTAACACTGGTCTGTTGGGTTCATGCTCCATTCTTTCTTTCATATTTCTAATGTCACTCGTATCAGTGGTTTAGAAATACGGTTTTTGAAACCCTTTTGGTCGAATTCATGTCTATGGATCTGGATATTCGCTTTTAAATTGAAATTATGCACCCTAGCAACGCTAAGTCATTAGGCAGAGCTTTCTGGATGGTATAAATAATTATAAAACAGAATGAAGTGAATCTATTGATCGACCATATAAAAGCATTTGAGCAAATTCGAATTTGAACATAGTTATTTAAAAATAAACATTTTCTTGTATCTATGGTATTAAAAATCTTCGTCTTGTTAATATTTGATATTTTCGAACTAGGTTTTGGTCGGGGATTCAAGCCGTCGCGTTATATTTGATGGGGATCTGCGCGAATTAAGTATGAGTGATTTCACTTTTGTTTGCATGGCTCGGGTTTTTGTATTAACAGATACTTTGGTTATTGCATATCACAGTCAATCTGCTTCGTAAGTCTTATTAAAACTAATAATTCAGTCATAAGTATTCACTTATTTCAAGTTGTTGGATAGATCAGTTTTTGATTTTCATTTATGGTCATAGTATACAGTTGATATTGTTGCATATAATGGCACATGTAATACGATAGGCAGTGGTGAGGAATAATTGGTATCTCTATGGATTCCATTTTCATCTTTAATTATCTGACAATTCATACCATTTTCGTTGAATATTTTATTTTTAAGTGGAAGTTTTAATTCATCAGCAACTGCCATCTAACTAGAGGTTTTATCTTCTAGGGTACATTCGGTTAGGATTTGAGGCAACGTTTCTAGTTTATCCACTTCCGTCATTTCATTAGGGTTATCATTTACCTTGTGCTCTGTCATAGCAACATGCTCTGGGGTTTTGAACTTTACTGAGTAGAACCAGTTTTGGGAGGATAAATTTGACTCTTTTCAGTGAATAAGACTCTCAACACAGATTGATCATCAAATAAATAGGAATACGTTTATAAGATTGGTCACCGCTATCGAGACAGATTTTCATACATCAAGAGTTTGCCGTAAATTAAGGCACTGGGCTTTGTCCTAATGTAGAAAAACTATAGTGGCTAAAGATGAACAACATAAGTGAATTGCATTTATACCTAGTAGCCAGTACTTCATTGACTTCCTATGTATTTTGCGTAATCAGTGTGTAGGCATTATCGAGAGCTTCTAATCAAAGGACGTAAATCAATGGTTAATGTACAGTCGAAACATGTTACTTGTTCTAACTTATTTACTCTCTCAATGTATGATGTTAGCTGTAATATATGGAAAGATGATATAGTAGGAAAGCTACAAGTCAAGAATATATATATATATAGTATGAAAATTCGTGTCGGTTTTAGATTTTGAAAGTTATCCTAAGCATGACTTGTTAATACATATTTTACTTCCATTTACAGCCCGTACCCATATCGTCTTCAATCAACGTATGATTTGAACAACTTTGCTGTGGCTAATTTTCCTCCTATGGATCGCCTTCAAACTCCAAACAATGCGTTTAAACTAATAGTTTTTCCTACTAATCGTCTTTTTCAAACTGAAACGCCCAGTGACAAGGTATTAATAATGATAGTATCTGCCGAATAATCGGTTCGCTTTTACTTATTTGTATGTATTAAAAGTACTCTCCTTGACCTCTGAACAGTAATGAATGTTATGCTTGAACTCGTCTTAATTACAATGTTTGGATTTAAACGTTAATTAGGATAATCTACAATATCTCAGTTTATTTTTTGAGTTCTGCAAACTGTAAACACATCTTGCAGTTTGAAATTTTTCATAAACTTCATATGTGCATACATTTGTTCATAATATTGTCTGAATTCCCAGTTTTCATCTTCAAATAATAAATTATGTGCTCATTGTGAAATACTGTATTGACTGTCATTCGATCATCACTCCACTATATTAAAATAGCTTACTTCATAAGATAATACTTTTAATCAGTGTTTTAGAAAAATCATTCGTCAAATACAAGTTTATACAATGGAATCTAGCCACACTTTTCGTGTCAAGGTTGTAGATACTAACTGGTAGGGTAAGGGGTTTTCAAATCTGCTTGTTACTCAAATTTCTCTGAAAGTCTTAGAAGGTATTTCGGCGATTGGTTTAAAACATTCTCAGATATTCTTGTTTCTCTACATATCATTTCTATAGGATTAAGTTTTGCAATATTCTTTAAAATAAAACTGTGGAAACTGGTCGAACTGTTTTCTTAAGACGACAGAAAATCGTCAAATCACCATGTAAATTTAAATAAGCAATTTTTAAAAAACAATGTCAGAAACGTCTTTTCCGCCAAGCCTCTCTCTTGTTTTCCACTTGTTTGAAAATTATATAACTGGCTTTCGTATCATTAGGTAAGTCAGGTTGGTTTCCCTGATGTAAAGTATCCACCTAAAAAAAGTTAGTTACTGTTTATCCTATCTATTTCTGTCTAGATAGTTACGTACTATCATTACTTACATGGTTTATAATTACTTGTTTTGTATCTGTGTTGAGAACTTGGTCTTATAACTTTTATTTGTTTTATCCACATAACTCTATTTTGTTCATTTTATTTTAGAAACGTTGGCTAACATTATTAGAAGAAACGATGCGTAAATATCGGAATACTAATTCGTATGTTGCATCAAATTTAAAATCCAATCCCCCTATTACTACGAATTCTTATGACGTTTTGGATAACAATTCTATGAAGTTAACCATGTTACCTCCAAAGATATCTGCTGAAGTTGTTGTTGCTGGTCATAAAGCTTTATCTTCCACTTTACCTGATTGTGTAGACCTCTTAACACCTATCGATAAATTGGACCTATCTGCTAAAAAAAATCCTTTTGATGATCCCCATGAAAGTAAGTTTCCTTGGTAAATGACATGCCATATTATGTTGAATCGTGAAACTCATTTTCTGTTGTTAATGTAATTCATCTTCATACTCGTCCACCTATCATTTGTGCGTATTTCATTTATATTGTTCAATTGTATGCGCTTGTCAGACAGTCACTACGTAGAACTTCGTACGTACGTACATCAGTTGGTCCTTCACGACTCCCTGGTTGGGGTCCGAGAGATAGTGCAACACAGTGGCTAGAGACGTTATCGGATATGGCTCAGAATAGAAGCCAGTGGCGATCCTGCTGCAACCTTCTTTTACTTTCTACATAAAGAATGGTTCTAACTTTCCTAACTGAAAGAGTCTTCTGGTTGTACATTTCAGCCCGCCTTATCTTTTCATCCTTTATCTTCCTACTTTCATTATTTTGTGTGGCGCATATGTATCTGGTGCCCTTTTGTACCAATATATATGTGTTTAAATAAATAATAATAAATAACATCAGTTGGAGTTGCCATACCACATTAGCATTTGTATAAAAGTCTTTATATTTTGGCACTCTGGGGTAAATAATACATAATTCATACTATGACAAGAACAGTACATCTCAGTAAATTTCCAAATAATCTGTTACCAACATTGTGTTTTAGCGGTTCGGGGTTGCACTTTTAAAGTTCTAATCATGTCAATCTTCGTATCCAGTATGAAATAACAACATTTGAAAACTTCTGAAAATCTGGCAGCATCCACTGTAGCACGAAACTTATCAGTCGTATATCATCAATTGTTCTGTAATATATTAAACTGGAAACCGAATTCTCTATATCTGCTTCATTCGGCACAATTCTTTTCTGGTATCATCTGTAGATATCCATCCTCTTTTTTTAAGTGTTAGTGTTTTATAATGAAAGTAATTTCTCTCGTTCTCATAAACCTCACATTTAAATGATTAACTCATCGTTTAATATTTATTTCAAAGTTGTTACTGAAGGCCATTACTTGTGTCATCAGCCAGGATAAGGAAAAAATATCCATTTAGACTATTAGACAACGACTTAGTCATGTTAATAATTACCCAATTTCTGAAAATTTTAAACATTATTTACGGATTCACCTTCTGTAAAGCAGATTATTTGTTAGATAATTCAAACGTTTAAGTCTTCATTCTTAAATGAAACAGCAGATGTCAAATATTTACTACTTACTTGCTATGGGATTGTAATAAAAATTCCTCTTATAATGAATCAACTTTTCATGAAGTTGTCTGTAACTAACTTCATGCCTCAATCATTTACATATTCATTTTTTATCTAGCTTCATTTTTTTATTCATGGATATATGGATGAAATCATGAATAATTGGAATTCTTAAAATAACCCATTCATTGTTTTAATCTTTTAAAATGCACTTATTAATTTTTTTTCCTTTTTATTTAAAACGTAGCTGTTAAATCTCCCACAGCAAAAGTTGGGAGTCATAAATCTCGACATAATTGGTTATGGGATGTACCAGAAGATTTAGATGTAGCAATATCTGAACGAAATTTTCAACGTGCTACTAATTTAATTGTAAAAGCTAAGGAATCATTGAATCAAATACTGACTGAAGATATATCAAAACCATCTATGGATACAAATATACAATCGTCTAATTCTAGTACATCAGGTCAAATATCTGATACTGTTGATCATAGATCTAAAACAGATTGGGAGAAATTATCTAAGCGTATTGAACGTAACGAACGAAATCTTACAGAATCTTTGCAATATGAACTAGTGTCAGCAGCTTGTAGACATGGTATGTAATGCTTGGAATCTGTATTTGTTAATGTTGTTTCTCTTTAGTGCTTGATATTTTCAGTTAATTCTAAATTTACTTAAACATTAACATTAGATTAATGATAACAATATCATATGATTTGTTTTTTAATGTTAGTCACAAATTTTAATTTCTCCATTCTACTAATTCCTTATAAGGTATTTTTTATTTTCGTTTATTTGTCAAAAATATTTCTTTTTGAAAGGCGCTCCAAAATCGGTGAAAGCAGCTGTTTCTCAATTAGGTTTACTTGGTAAAGCATCTCTTGCAGCTGAATTATTTCTAGTTTATCGTTCACAAGTAATGACAAAGTCATTAACGCATGGTGTACATCAAGAAGGCAATCAATTAATCTATTTGAATAAATTATCACTTACTTTCCATCGTAATTTAGCTGAAACAGCTGTTGAATGGTGTCAAAGTGTAGTTAAACCGTTGGGTGAAATTCTTGCCTCAAAAACTAATGGTATATCACTACAACAATTTGAAAATATCTGTTCTTTAAGTAAGTTTACATTGTAAGTGTTGTTTAAAGTTACATTATTGTATATTAGTTTTAGAATGTTCTTGAGTTATCCAGTCACATGGAGTCTACAATTTCTCCCATAATGTTAATGAGCTTCCCTTATTTAACCAGTGTCTTTCATTTTATTCAATAGAAACTACGTTATCCAACTCATTTATTTTAGTTATGTACTATTGCTTATATGTATTTTGTAGTTATGTGTTTGATAATACTTTCAATTGAGTAACAGGGTGTCTTTAATTCTAATCTCAGTGATTAGTACCCAATAGTTACTAAAATATACTGTGAATCGTAATTGTAAAATGTTCATTTTCGTTTTCAGTTTTGATTGTGTTTTGCATCATTACTACCAATTACTTAATAATTATTCACCAGACGTAGTTAACTGACAAAGATATTATTAGTTTCATGAGATCCATATAGAAAAGTATACATAAACAGACTGAACTTAATCCAACAGTTTAGCATGTTGAACGTAAACTTGAAAATTTTTTTATTTTTACCACCATTGGTTTCGTGTTATCACTCTGTATAAACTTATTTATTTATTTAAACACATATATATTGGTACAAAAGGGCACCAGATACATATGCGCCACACAAAATAATGAAAGTAGGAAGATAAAGGATGAAAAGATAAGGCGGGCTGAAATGTACAACCAGAAGACTCTTTCAGTTAGGAAAGTTAGAACCATTCTTTATGTAGAAAGTAAAAGAAGGTTGCAGCAGGATCGCCACTGGCTTCTATTCTGAGCCATATCCGATAACGTCTCTAGCCACTGTGTTGCACTATCTCTCGGACCCCAACCAGGGAGTCGTGAAGGACCAACAGAAGCTAGCCCTTTGCAGCTTTCTTTCATACCACGACGCCATGTCATACACTGACCACCTCTCCGCTTTTTCCAATCAGTCCCAGAGTCGGCAAATAATGCACGACGTGGGATTCTCTGGGACGACTTTTGTAGAACATGTCTAAGTCACCGAAATCTGTGTTTCAAGATGGTGACACCAATTGAATTATCGTCTCTGCGCCCGAACACGATGCCGAACCTCTGCATTACTAACATGGTGTTGCCACAGGATGTCAGCAATCCTTCAGAGACAACGATGATCGAACACAGAAAGTCGTCTAACATCCTCAACTCGGAGAGGTCAGGTTTCACAAGCATAGAGCGAAACTGCTCTCACCGACGCGTTGTAGATCCGACCTTTTACAGCCAGACTATCATCACGAAGGCGCCAAAGATGGCCCAGATTGGCATAAGCCGCTCTGGCTTTCATTATACGTGCATCGATCTCATCACTCACGCCACCACCAGCACTTATGCAACTACCTAGATACACGAACTTCTCAACTACTTCAATCTGCTCACCATCCAGGGTGAGTACAGGATTAGAATCCTGCCAGTCTTGTAGGAGTACTTTGCACTTGGAGGGTGCAAAGCACATGCCGTACCTACGAACATTGATTGCCAACTGATTAAGTGCGGATTGCATGCCTTGGGCATTATCGCACAGTAAGACAATATCATCCGCATACTCGAGGTCGAGAAGTCGTTCTCCAGGCAGCAGATCCACACCGCCACTACTTACATCCATCAGAGCTGTTTCCAGGATGTCGTCGATGGCAAAGTTGAAGAAGAATGGTGAGATCGGGCAACCCTGCCTAACCCCACTGCTGGAATAGAACAAGGGAGAAAGGTGGTTGTGTGCCCTCACTCTGCCTGAGGTGTTCGTATACAAAGCCTTTAAGATGTTAATGAACTTCTCAGGCACACCCTTCTTCAATATACAATCCCAGAGAACAGTCCTGTCCAACGAATCGAAGGCAGCCCTGATATCAAGAAACACCACGATTGTTGGCCTGCGATAAGTATGACGGTGTTCTAACATTTGGTGGAGGGTGAATATGTGATCAGTGCATCCTCGATCATTTGTGTGTGGGCTGTGATACTGCCCGGGTGCCCAAACCAAAGCAGGTGGTTTTCTTAGGGGGCCACATCCCCAGCCTTTGACCTAAAGATCTGATCCACAAGGCAGTTGAGCATCGCGAAGCGATGCATTCCCATGGTAGCCGGTGACCAACAATTGGTTCATACGCCATTTGTTCCCTCAGAATACTAGAGCCCATGTGCACCATTGGTTTGGAATCAGAGTTTTCCGACTCCCTTAGGTGGACTTTCCGTGTCCACCGATCTGGTTAAAGAGCCGGACATTCGCTTTTCGATGTTGATGGGTATATCCATTAATCCAAGTTTTTCTAACATATCTAGACCAAGAAGATCAAGGTTTGCTCGTTCTGTTAGATAAGATACCCCTTTACAGTTATTTCCATTGAAGGAAAATTCACATTGTAATTCGCCAACTAGTTTTAGTACGCCTCCAGATGCATTTTTAGCCGTTTTCTTGGATGGCTTCATTGGCAGCTTTCCCAGCAAGTTATACGTCTCTCTAGACACTAGAGTAATATCGGATGCTGTGTCAATTTGAAGACGAGCCGCTATACCATTAATCTGGATCGTAAAATACTTTCTCCGAATGTCACAGACTGTTTGAAAAGCTGCTACCAGAGAAAGAGATTTAGACTCAGCTGATTTCACCACACGTGAAAGACGTTTATACTTCTTCTTGGGCTGGGACGTACGATTCGGTGGACAATGGCCTTCTTTATGTCCACGTCTGTTGCACACCTGACATTTATGCTTCTTAAATGGACAGAACCGTACATAATGCCAATCGACGCATAACCAACAGGCATCCGTTGGTTTGTTATGACTTATTGGGCTTCTGACTTTTCAACCTAGTCATAGCATTTACACTACTGCAGGTTAAATTAGAATTTACCTGTTGAATTAACTGATTGTCGTGTCTGATGTTTTGTAGTCGTTTACACTCATCTGTCAATGTCTTGAATGTGACGTTTGGGTCTTGATCCAAACGAGTTAGAAGTCTGGTTCTAATTTCAGCATCTTGTGGTGACTGCAGAGCTTTGATGAATATTAGGCATTTAAAATGATCTGTCAACGAGCGTAACTTCAACCGTCCACACTCTCTGTTGACGACGTCTGCTAGAGCACCATATTCATCGGCTTCACGTTTCACCAAATTGAGACACTGATATCGAATACTTAACAATGAGGAAGATTCACCGAATATCTCTGACAATTGCGTTACTGTCTCCTCGAAACTGAGCTCTCGAGGTAACTTTGGCAATATATGATCAGCATAACGTGCATGTTCATTGCTTCCCAACTTACGCATCAACAACCGAGTCTTCCATGCGTCATCTTGTTGACAGAATTCTATTCTAAATGTATCTTCCCAACGCTTGAACCACGTGAGAAAGGTATTTCCACTTTCGGGATCATATATGAATTCTGGGATGCTGCTAGCAACTGCATCACAAGAAGTACTTGAAACAGCATGTGAACTCGAGTTTTGAATGCTAAACTGTTGGATCAGAGTCTCCAACAACCGCATTTGTGCATCAAGTTGTGCTTGCTGTTGTTGTAGTATTCGGATGAGCTGGTCATCTGATATAGGCATTTTGAATGAATTTTCCTTTTTCCCCGTCGCCACTGTTATAATTGTGTTTTGCTATATAAACGACCCAGCTATTCCTATTGCTTAGTATTCTTATACAATGACACTCGACAAGACCCCCAAAATCAGAACACTTTGAACAGGAATGAAATTGTATTCAAAATAACAATCGTAAATGAACAGCAATCACTGATTTGAATAACGTTCATATATTTATAGTATATACATAAGAAGCTTATGGATTTTTCTCCAATAATATGCCCGGGCTGATTAGTTTAGAATTAGCCAATCAGCGCGCAGCAACACCATCATGCATGAAACATGCTTTAATCCAATCTATGTCCCGCTAACAGAACCAGAAACCAATTGATTGATTATTTCTATGGGGACTAACTCTGTTATTTAATATTATTGTAGTAATTCTTTAAGTATTGACCTTTTAATGTCTTGTACCAGAAATGAAACTGTCAATTAGTAGTCACTGTAGGTTAGACGACTACTATGTAATGACTCTTCAGCGAGACAACCACACTCAAAATTAAGAAAAGAAAACTATGGTTTTCTAAGACAGCTGTCTTGATACAATGCACATTATTTTTTGAATGTGATAGTAAAGTAAATTATTGAGAGTGAAAATCCGATCTAAGCGAACAATTTGTAGCGAGATCTAAATCAAATAATGCTCACGTTTTCCAGTGATGGTGCTATTTTCGGTATAAAGTTATGAACGTGAATGAGGATACAACTCTTGAACTTACTCCAACATCCCCATCACTTTAAACGGTTGTCGTCCAGGAACAGACCTGCTCCGAGTCCATATTTAACTGTATCGTCTATCTTCTCCTTTAACCGATCAGCCTCCTTACTGACAGCTCTCTGCTAGCTGTCATATCGTAATCATAAGAAACGAAAAAGTTGCTTCATTTTTAAGTAGTTTAACAAGATTTATTTTCAAATATTTTCATTCCAATTTTATTAAGAAAGCTTTGCTTATTTTAAAAAACAAATAGAATTTTATAGTTGGACATTGGAGGAGACTGAGAAATTCGGCCAACAACTTCGTGTCCTACTGATCGATAGTCATGCAGTGTCATTTTATTCAATGGCTTATGCGGCTCAACGAATTAAGGCACATGCTGATAAGGTGAGAAATTAGTAAAATTTATCTAAGAGGATTACGTTTTTTTATACGTAACAGGGTGGGTTGACGGTTGGAGTATTCGGATTCCAGCCTAGAGGTCATAGGTTCTAACCTTGCTCCGCCTAGTGCGACTTAGCCGTGTAATATTACTCAGTAACTCACAAAGGTGTAGTTCAAACTCAAGGTTTTAATGCAACTCACTTACCATGTACCGTTTTTTATGCTTAACTTTTAAACCACATTGTTTGTGTAAAGGCCTAGTGATACTACCTAGCCGTCCAGATGAAATTAAGTTGAGGGGCTTCGAGCTTTTGGTTGAAATTTTCATGTATAAACCTACATTTAGTAGAGGTGGTTTATAATCTCTACTATTATTATTGAATATTTTTATTAAGATACAATAATTGTTATGAATTCGCTTGTTAAAAAGCCTTTCAGTTTCCTTGCATACATTTACACATCTCGTAATAAAATATTTGTTTGACCTTAATATGTATTGATAATTGTAATTAGTCATATTCCTAGGGATATCATTGATTAAGGTTTTATCTCATAAAGTAAAAAAAGAACATATTTGTTATTGATCATTTATACTTTCCAAACAATTAATACATACAGAAAGGATTTTTTTTACTTAACCCAGGAATATTTTATATTTAATCAATCGTCTTTCACATGTTTAGCAATTATGATAGTACACTGTAATTCTTTTTTTTTCAATTCACCATTGTGTATTGAATTGCTATTATACATAAATTCTTATTGTAAGTTAAGACAGACATGTATTGTTTTTCTTCGGTTAGCTTACAGAATTACTGAGTGTTGATATTTCTTCTACTCTCAATCGAAGCTTATCACGTGCATGGAAACGTGCCGCTGATGAACAATCTCGTTTACTTTGCGAAGCTGTTGAAAATCGTGCAAAAGTAATTATCATATTTTTCAGTCCATAACTTGTCATTTTAATCATAAAAAACGCATGTCAACAAAGATTTGCTTACATTAAGCCGCTTCTTGAATGTCGTAAAAGAAAAACATCAATCTCATAATTACTAATCAAGTTACAACTGGTTTTAGTCATCAAATCTATAACCAAAAAAACCCAGAGAATATGGTAATTGTTGTGCACGATACCTCTGTTTGTTCTCAACCTGGTTTTTCTATGAATATTCAGAACAGACTTTACTTGGGGCGTAATACAGTGCTCGTATTTAATTTCAGCTTGTCTTTGTTACATGCCATTCACCAAACGAGAGTTATATTAGGAATCTTACACTCTATTGAATCATTTGGACTCCTGTGAATTTGACCGCTGCTATCACAATGTGATGATCAAGCTTACTTATTTAAGCTGTAATACTGAAAATTCCTGTTTATCAATATCCTACCATACTGGGAAAATTGACTTCAGTATTTCAAATTTAAAAGCACCTATTTTCAGTGTGTAATTAATTTAGATTAGAAAAAGTTTTCAAATATGAAATCGTGCTGTTCGATCAACTGAAATATCACAGTCGTAATATATGTCTTATTAATAGGTCAATCATATTGTCCTCTCCCTTTAAATAAAAGGGGAGTAATTAAAGCTGACGCTGAAGATTGCAGAACATACCCTTATCGCTTATCTTTTGTTTCCAACGTCATGATTCTTTAAAAGAGAAATAAAACTCCCCAAGTACCTTCACATCTAAAAACGCTATGTTTGACCAATACTTAACAAGTATCTTTTGGTTATCCTCCTTTTCATTAATTGAAAGTATCAGATATCACTGATTCATATTTCCTTTAGCTTAAACTTTCCGTCTGGTCATCAGCAATCATCTCTGTCAGTGTTTTCTTATCCTTTTTGTATTACCGTCTCCGTTTCAAACATCCATTTTATAGATTCCGCTGTTACTGTTCGTCTCAGTTTTCAATATAGCATTTCTCATCGCATTAAATGACAGTTGTTTATTTAGTACTGAAGATTTCAACATCTACAGACTATATCCTATTTAACAATGAACTTAATTTCAGAACCACATGTTAAAACATTAGCATCTTATGTTCCTTGGAACGAACACGGAAGGATTCACTTAAGGGTATTCGCTTGAACTTGTCAAGTTGATATGATGAATTAATACCAATCGCTCAATGACCCTATGGGATTATAAGTAATTAGTTCTTGTTAACTGTCCGAGGTTTGGTTACCATTCAGTTTTGGACATTTGGTGATCAATCGTTTAAAAAGTTTTCCATTGAACGGACCTGTACGAACTGAGAGCACTGTAAATTGGAACAAAATAAGTAACATCTAGTTATACACCTGATTGCAGCTCAGATGGCATAATGAGTTTTACTGAATTTTGTATAGTATTTTTAAGACTCTAATATGTAAATAAACCTTAATCAAAAGGCTGCTGTACTGTGGAACTAGTAAAAATTTGAATTGTATTGATTTCATCTTCGGAGTTTTGCGCGGACGAATCACTAATAGTGAGTGTCTCCCGCTATATATTTCAAGTTGAACAACTTTGTATGTATAACAATGACCTTATGTCACCACAAAAGTAGCGAACCAAAAGTTATTATTATTTAAACACATAAATATTGGTACAAGGAAGCACCAGATATATATGCGCCCCACAAATCTCATTTGATTTGTGTGAGGGCTGTGATACTGCCCAGGTGCCCAGACTGAAGCAGGTGGTTTTCTTAGGGGGCCACATCCCCAGCCTTTGACCTAAAGATCTGATCCACAAGGCAGTTGAGCATCGCGAAGCGATGCATTCCCATGGTAGCCGGTGACCAACAATTGGTTCATACGCCATTTGTTCCCTCAGAATACTAGAGCCCATGTGCACCATTGGTTTGGAATCAGGGTTTTCCAACTCCCTTAGGTGGACTTTCCATGTCCACCGACCTGGTTAAAGCGCCGGACATTCATTTTTCGTCCTCTCCATTTCGTACACAACACTACCGCCTCGAGTAGGTAGTGAGTAGAACTTCCCTGGCAGAGGCTATATATTCGCGTGACCATGTTAGAGCATTTCGAGAGGGAGAGCGGACTCTCCCCACTCTCGGCCGTACCAGGGCATTTGGGGGCTTACACCACACTGCGAACCAAAAGTAACAACAATCAATCAAATAACATTAAAACTCACTGTGGAAGTATGAATTTAAAGAAGTTATCGCGATCATTCTCACTGAAAAAACCTAACAGTCATTTACAAGAAACTGAGACATCATTAGCAATTCTGTCGCACTTTGCACTCCTGTTTACCCATTTTTATTGACTCACTTTTACTCATGCACAACAGTAACTGGTGATAATTGTAATATAAATAAAAGTTCACACTACCATACACCACTTCCTGGTATATTCTGATATTGTATACAATCTAATACATACACTTCTCTGTTAAACGTTTAAAATAAATGTTCCATTTTCTATTTTGTAATCACTTAATATACACGTGAAAATTACAATTAAAGTACTTATCAGTGTATATATTAAGTATGTTTCTGACTTATATTCTCAGCAAGAATCTTGGGAAACTTTATCAAATTTACCTAAAGGAGAACAAGATAAAATTATTGCAGATCTAATGGAATTTGGAATACTCAACCAATATACCGCAGCTGATTGTAAGTTACATTTTAGAAGTGTTGTTCATTCATAGATATGTAGTCTCTTAATTAAAAAGAATGCTGAGTTTGGTCTTAATAATTTTAAATAAATTGAACATTGTATACTAAGTTAATAATAAATGTACTTTTGCGTTATTCCAATGAGTCGAAAATTGTATTTCTGACGTTTTGTAACTTAATGTAAGAAGTGACTTACATTATATCATGAAAGTACAATTTTCCACTGGTTGGGATATCATAAAAATATATTTAATGGTAATAATTATTTTTTTTTAATTGTAGAAATGTTCTAACAGTTAAATTTTCTTATATTAAAGCAAATAATTATTTTTTCAATAACTTCAGCATTAGTCTGTATAATTATAAGTAATAGGCTTGATGATGAAGTTGTTCTCTTCAAAATTCTTTATTTTCAAATATTCTGTTAGAATTTTCAAGAGTTTTCATGTTGACTAATTTAAAAATTCCAGAAGAGAAAAGTTTTAAACTCCGGTTTCAAATTTTGTCACATTTTTTGTGGAACGTATCTGTGTTAAAAGATTGAGACTGATTTAATGTGTTTATTTATTTAAACACATAAACATTGGTACAAGGAGGCACCAAATATATATGCGCCACACTTCGTCATTTAATGTATGTGACGTCTGGAATACTATCAGCGCGTCCAAACCAAAGCAGGTGGTTTTCTTAGGGGGCGACTCCCCGAGCCTTTGACCTAGAGGTCTAATCCACAAGGCAATGGAGCAACGTTAGGAGATGCAATCCTATGGTAGTCAGCGACCAATAATAGGTTCATACACCACTTGTTTCCTAAGAATCCTAGAGCCCATATGCACCAATTTTTTGGAATCATGGTTTTCCAACTCCCCTAGGTGGATCTTTTATATCAGACTCATACTTTACCTTAATAACTTTAGTTTATAACATTTAATTAGGCTAATATCTTTTGTTTGTTTGTGCTGTCAATGCTGAACTACTTTTCTCCATTCTTGTGTCTTTTTTAAACTTGACTCATATTAATTTATTCATCTTTACAGTCATTGTTACACGAGTTCTTACCATCACTTTACATTTTCTAAAAACTTGTCTTTGTATAGTTTAAGTTTTTCTTACGTCTGCGATTTTCACGTTAGTTAACATTCAAACATATAATGGTTTGAGCATTTTGTTGGTCCTCCACATTCACTAGAGTACATACACACGTTCGCTACACTTGCGTCACAGTTCTTAGTCAACTAGATGCAAGAATTTTAATGCTGAAAAGTGAGACACAATACATAACCACTGGCAAGTATTTTGAAGTATCTACTATTGATTATTTAAGTCTGCAAAAACTTTTGCAGGTTGGTATTTTAATTATTTGTGTTTCAAATTTGGCTAAAGGTGATCTCAGTGGGAAGCTGTTGCTCACTGACTAAACTGTTTGCTTTTAAACTAATAGATCGCAGGTTGAAGCCACTTTTCATCTATATCAGTTCTGACAGTTGAATTATTGTTTTGTTGTGTTCTCCTGCTCATAAGCTATCGTTTGATGCATAAAGATTTCTGATATATCTCACTATTCAGGATACATCATTCCCTTTCATTCACGACTGAGTTGGGTATGCACTTGTTGTTGTATCATTGCACGTTTCATATACAATAACGATTGTTATACGAGTCATAACAACTGGCGACGGGGATTCTAAAAAAAAAAAATATAGCAGCCGCTGACGTCATTTTGGAATTAAATAATCCATAATAATTGCCGGTGTTTTTTGGATTTATTATTATTATTTGCATAAAAAAAATGGCCTTAACTTCCGACCAATTTTAGTTGCTAATCCAGCGACAAGAGCAGCGCTTTAGAAAGAGTCAATTGGATTTCATTGACAAGTTACATGCGAAGCTGCTGAATCACCCATGCTTTGGTGGTGCAACGGAAGTTGACGCATTGATTTCCAAATTGCGTACAGAACTAGAAATCGATTGCAGAACAAATGAATATGCAAAGGAAAGCCTCTATGAATCCGTGAAAAGCAGTAATTTAAGCGAAACATTAGCAGTCACATATGATCAACCCAGTAGTCCAGTATTGTCCGTTTCAGAGACATGCCCTATACACGGTCCAAGTCCTACTAACCCCGTAAACGGACGTGCAAACAGTGGATCAACCTCTTTACAGAAAGACAATGTTTTGCTAAATGCTCATGAAATTGCTGCAGTACCCGCCCACGAAGAAACGGGGAACAAACCGAACAGTATAGTGAATACAGTGGCGCCAAATGAAACTAATCATGATGAAAAAAATTTTTCTAATGAATCTAATGATCAAAATTATCTAATTGTTCTGCCAGATCCCGATTATTTCGCTGATTCATATGTTCCTGTTCAAATCTCTTATAAAAATGTGAGAAAAATAGCGGATGCATTAAATGATAATCAAGAATCCAATACAACTCTCATAGATACTGATTATCCTAATGATTCATTATCTACTAATGAGGTTCCGAGGAAATTCAAAGAAACTATTTCAGAAGAATCAAATGTTGGTGACCTCGAATCAAATGTCGTCAATCCTCATGATCTCTTCAGTTCTAATGCATTCCCTGTTAAATGTGACAAGCATATCGCATTATTAGTAACTTGGCTATATGAGGATCCAACAGTCTTTCGTGGGGGAGGGTGAATTCGAGAAAATTAAAAATCCGGATATCAACTCCGGATTTCTCAAAAAGGGGAGGTGTTGTATCCCCTGGCGAATTATGAATCATAAATCTGAGGTCCATTTATGGACAAATGTAATACGCCTATTCCTATTGGATAGTTGTTAAATGAGTGACCTAAATCTAAGGTCTATTTATGGACAAATATAATATGCCTATTCCCTATTGGATAGTTGTTAAATAAATGACCTAATCATTTCCGTGTTCCTCTTATCATAACCTTTATTTTGACCTTGGAACTATTATTATTGATTACTTTCCCCCTAGCTACAGCCACATGGGCCAATTACTGTACAAATGTTATTTTTCTATTTTTGATATATGGGGTCTGTTTGGTTAGTATATATAACCCAGTATGCTTGTGAATAATGATTCATATTGCTGAGGCTGTTATTTGTGTTCTGGACTTAACGGGCTGGGCTAGTCAGATAGGAAGGACCGAATAGCACCCAATACTGTTCGTACGTATTTTCTGTATCTTTGGATATATATATTAAGAGGCCAAAAAATCATACGTTATAACAACTTTAATTTTTGATTTATGTTGCCACGCAATCAGTTATTTGAAGTTTATTATTGTATCGTTTTTAAGTCGTAAGTAAAGAGTACAATAAAAAATCATTCTCCCTGTCATCTTCCTCTTCTGATAGGAAGTAACTTGTGGGTCAACAAGCACTCAAGGTTCTCCCGTCATTATTTACAGTTACTGAAACATAGCCCAAGAAAAGCTCGTTATGTTAGCGGTTTAAAAAAAGGATCACTGGTCCTACAAGCAATATAAGCAAAGAAGTCAGTTGTCGAACTTGATAATATAATTTCTTATAGTAAACAGCTCGATCACACAGATCCAATATAATTCAAGAATGTGTTATTTTGAGAATAAAACCAATCGTAAATTTGCTTCTACATAATTTGTATTTTCATAGTATACTATCCTTTTATTATTATTCTTCAGATGGTTTGAAATTAACAATGAGTACATATTACCTTATTCGGTCTCTACGACAATTTATTCAAAGCATCCATCTATTAAATTGTTCAGAGTTAGATTTAACTTTAACATCGTGTTTTGTACAAACATTAAATTCAGAACTGGATTGTTTTGAACGTGTTTCACCTATTGATATTTCTGATCCGGCTAGAGTAAGTAACCTACAACATTCCAACTTGATTTGTTCACTTGATCTATTTGTAATGTTCAGCCAAATCTTAGCTTTGGTTGATCTAGTTAATTTTGTTATAGTGTACATGATGAGTACTTTTTAAAAATATCAGAATTATTGACAAAATACCTTTAGTAAACAGATATTAGACGAATAATAACTGTTTAGCAAAGTAAATTGTATTTATAGTTAAGATCATGAGTCTATATATATATACATATATATATATATATACATACATACATACATATATACATACATATATATATTTATATGACAGAATTCTATACATGTATACAGAATATTTAATAGAAAATAAGGTTACTGGATGGGTGGAATGTTTGTGGAGATTATTCAATTTTGCAGCTTGTATCACGAACTGATCTTAGACAATGAAACCAAAAAAAACATTGGACATCTATTTTATCCTAGTATGGTTGCTCAATACCGCAAAATGATTTAAGCTATTAACTGCCGTCTCAGCTGTCTAACTCTTAGGCACTTGTTGCGAAACTTGACAGTCTTGTCCTTGATCCCTGGTCGGATCATAGATACCCGAAACAAATGTCCAGTGTTTCTTGGTTTTCAATGTGTTTTTTTAAAAACTAAGATCAGTTCGTGGTGTAAACTGGAAAAATGGATTTAAGAATTCATGTAGAATATAAACGCTCGTTGAATTCTGATTTTGTAGGCCATTTATCAACCGAGTAAAACTAAGGCCAAACTATCAGATTCGTGTATTGCTTACTGTATCAATGGTGTAATTGTGTCATCTAGAAACCTATATATAAATACCTCATTTAGTTACATGAGAAATCACAATAATTTTAGTCATGAAATTGTATGTTCATAACTTTTATTTGGTTAATTTTTATTTATGTAATTAAAATAATTCATAATTCACGTAAATTTCCTTGTAAACATTTTGTCTTTGTCTTTTTGTTTTAGCAATCTATCATTATAATCAATTTAGAATTTTTAATCAAGTCCATTGTGCCCAAATTTAGTCATATTTTAAATTGTTCCGAAAATTCAGCCATCCAACAACTGGTCTCTAATCTGAAAGCATCACTTCAAAGTATTAAAGGTTTAGAAGAAGAAGAAGAAGTGACGGTGATGGCGACCGCGGCTGCGAAAACATCAAATGCTGTAGACGAAGAAGATGTTATATAAACCGTTTTTTCTCGTTGAACAAGACGATGGGAGGAATTCTTTTCTTCTATTTTATTTTCTCTTTTAAAAAAAAAATTAAACCCTTATTTTGATATAATGTTTTAATACTTTAACAGCTGTTTATTGTTTTATTGATATTCTCAATTTTATTTATTTGAAATAAACATTTGTTTCTCCATAGTGATAATTATAATTGACACTCAAAATCATTGTTTCTGTGTATTTTTTGATTAAATGTATTAGATGATGACTACCTAGAGCATGGTGGAATTATATTGATCACTGACTAGTAACCAGCTTCATATTTGTTTGGTCTTTTACTTCTGATTGATTCCTATTAGTCTAGTCGGAATGTGTCTACTACTCCAAGTAGTTCGACATTGTGTGGACTATATAGAGTTGTTATTTAGTTGGAAGAAGTTTATAAAAAACGCTTGACGTACGTATTGTACTATTTGGCGCTTGTGGACAAGGCTTACTTGTAGTCTTCAGAGGTCTGATGTTCTCTATAGGGTTCCGATTTGTATTACCCAGCTTCACATCTGAAATCTAAAATTAACAACAAGGGATCAATATGTTATAAACAATGTGTAACATTTTTTTCAAATTTATCATAGTGAAACACAGTTATATAACACTTTTTGAATAAAGAAATATAAGTTGTAAGATAATCAGTACTCAATGATTACAATTCCTCTTAAAGTCAATTCATCGGTTTCAGTGTGGTCTTACAAAGATTGCCCATTAGTCAGTGATACTGCATCTCCTTCACAGATATAATTAAAAATATGACTAACATGTAGTAAAAATTATAATCCTGTTTTTATTTTGAATTCATGAATTTCAACGAATCTCTTGAGTGGATTTTTTAAGTGAATTCTGCAAGATCCATATTACGTAAAAAGTAAACACTGATACTCTATTCCCATACTGTCAAATCATCAAAACAAAAGTGTTTTTCCAGCAGTCCCATAAAGTACATGGTTGGTAGCATGAATTATCAGAAATAAAGATACTCTGATTTTTATTGCTAACTCCATTATGTGTTGCGTAAACAAATAGTAATGTCCGTTGTGATGTCTTATTTTACACAGTAATCAAAGAATTAACATGGAACGGTTTAATTCTCCTCAAGGGTGTAAGTTTTTTTGGCTAAGAAGACTGAGAGTTAGTGTTTGTAGAAAGTTTACTGACTTGTAAATATTACATGCTAGCACTTATTACTGATTAATGTTTATTGCTCTCTCACGCAAAGATGTTACATTAATCATTTTAAATGTGGATTTATTGACAGCATTTCTATACACCTAATTATCTGAAATCTTTACACGTATCTACTCCATTTAATAAAGTAATTTTTTCGTCTATTTTGACCAGCCAGCTAGTATATAATACAAACCGAAATCATTTATCAAATTGACAGAATAATCGTTTAAAATCACATGGTTTGTGTGTATATAATTTACTTTATTTATTTAAAGCATATAAATTCTAGTACATTGGGTCACTAAATCAAAAATGCTTCACACATTAATTGAATGTGGATAAATAAACGGGAAGTATACTACAAATGATTAAGAAATAAATAGGAATAATATTTAGTAAATAGTACATCCAAGAGCTAATCATCTTCGCCAATGAACCTTGTTATAATATACTACAGCAACGTTGCGACTAACGTCTATTCTGAGCGATATTTGATAGTGCTGAACAATCAGGGAATCATGATGAAGCGATAGATTCCAAATCTACGTAGTTATTTTACATATCAAGGCGTCATTTCATAGGCATACTAGCTCATCTCTTTTTCCATCCACTTCCAGCGTCGGCAAATAATACAATGTAAAAATCGCTGAGACGACATTTACAAAGTATGAGCAAACCGCTAAAAGTCAATTTTTCACAATTATGACGCTCGTTAAGATGTCCATAATACTATTATGGTGTTTTAATCGGATAATTTATGTGTGCATATATAATTTACGATATTAACCCACACTGAAATTCTCTTGGATCCAAACCTCATTCTTTGGTCTAGCTTCACTATTATATATTGTTTAGTGAATGAAAACGTTAACCTAATCTATGTGACTATCAATTAATCGAGTGAGTTGGTATAGTGGCAACCAAGAAATTGCATAAAATGCCATGGATGAACCATAAATAGTGCTAGGTCCGCTAGTTGCTTATGTTAAACTGAGTAGGGAGTATCTGTTGGGTGTATAACGGAAAAATTATTTATTCCAACTTCTTTGGAAGTATTTTTGTTTGACAAATAAGGTTTTTTGTATATGAATGTTGATTGGCTCTAGAAAAATGTTAGCTTACTGTACTAATTAGATAATGCAACAGTATAGATCACAATCTAGTGTAAAAAAAATTCTCCTTCATCACAATTAGTTATCCAAAAATCAAAGTACTTTGAGAATTGTTCCCGAAATATGAATATGTCAGGTTGTAATATTAAAATGTACTTGGATAAATAAGCAGAAGCTAAAGGATATTAAGTAAACTAATTAGTCTAGAATCGAACGTCTTTTCCATCAATGATATGGAACTTTTCATATTTATAAAATAGTAACGTTATGTTTAAACAAAAGGAGTTACTTTGGAATTTTTAAACAATGCATTAAAAAGCCTGCAAACGGAAAGTTTGTATGTTTTTAAAAAAGAAAGTATAAAACACCGCACACTTTATCGAGATTGTGAATCGATCTAAGTTGTCTAAATTAAGTCAGTTCGTGATCGCAGTAAAATTCAACAATCTCCATGACCCGTTTTAGTGATAATATTTGAATAACTCAAACTGTCATCAGTATTGTATATGAAGACAACGCCATACTGCAGCGACGGATAACAATGCTCCGAGGTTTTTGCAAACTTTGAAACTAGGAGACGGTGATGGTAGAAAGAAAGGAAAATAGTTTTGATAGATTGGTTTGAGACTACTAGGGTGATTATCTAGATGGGAGGAGAAACTTTTATACACTGTGCCGGTCAATTGGTGAGGATGTTTGATCGTGCATCGTCAACCAGTAATGTTCATTAGAACGAACAAGATTAATATCAATGGTAAATACCTACTAAGCTATTTTTATGTGTTAGTCTCTATTCTGTGACATGTTTTCTAAACTGTTCATTCACTCCAACATATTGGAGTTGTTGTGCTAGTGAGGTATGGCAACTTGAACCTATGCATATATGTGCCTGGTCCTACGTTATAGCTGACTGACCCGACTGACATATTGGGTAAATATATTATTCAATAGGTTTCCTTCTAAGTTTTCGTTTAACTTCATTTCAAACAACTATTTCCAATCGATATCTATTTAAATCATAATATTATTCATTCGTTAGTATGCGTTTAGTGGAAAAGTGGGATTCTTATCAATAGTTCACCTACTGATTGATAGCTTAAGTAATGTTACATTTTAAATTTTACACTGGTCGCTATTACTCTATTAAGTAATTTTCGCTCATTAAAATAAGTAATTGTAACACCCCTCCAGAATCTATTTGCGGTGAATTCACTCTTATCCAATGATCCTAGTGTAGAAGTTCCGTTTCATACACCCTTGGACATTTTATCGGTCCATTGTAAATTTTTGAGTTTTATTTCATTTGTCTACTGATTGATAAAGGATTTCTCACATATACTTCTTCCGGTCCTCTTAACTAACGCTGTTTTTTCAAATTTGGTCTATTAACTCAATGTCCTTTAAAAAATATAGTTATTGTTTTCTGTGGTCCTTCAAATAACACGTGATGAAATTGCTAACCAGAATACCGACTTTCATGTTTTTGTCCAAATGATTAGTCGAAACAGCACGAGCAGCCTTGATTCAACCCTGAATCCTCATTGGTTCACTATATAGTAACTTATCATCTAACCCACCACGTCCAGTTCAGAACACAAATATCAGACGTCGAGTTATATGAATCGTATATTTCATACATACATGGTTTATATATATGAGCAGACTAGACCACATTACACCATAAAATGAACATTGATAATTATACAAGATCAAGTCAAAGGTGGTGGTGAATAATCTTCCCGAAATCTTTTTATTCTGTATCCCATTGTTAAAACATGGTAGTTTAGGAATGTAACCGGCTTAAGAAAATGTATGGAATTGGTTGGGATCAAATACATTTGCAGTTAAACTGCACTCAGAGAAATGTAGTATTAAACTTGTACATTTTTAATTTAACCAATAAGCTAAATTTCTTAAAATCATATGATAATATAGTAACTACAGTAAATAGTAAGTTATTTGTTAAACCATTTGCATTTCAACTAATAGATCACAGGTTTAAACTACTCTAAATCTACACTAATTTGTATGGTCAGATATATTAATCTGCATATGGTAACTGTTTTACGCTGTTATTTATTGTTTTCAATAAGGTATAGGTTTCAAAATGACTTCAGTTGGTAGCCAATTACCCGAATACCTGCAATATCATTTATTCATGTACTTTTTTAAGGTCAAACTTGACCATATCAAGCGCGTAGTGTATTTGAACGGATGAAATCTATTATAACTTGCTTATTCATTTGACTTTAAGTACTTCTAAAACCAACTAATTAGAAACATCATACAGGTAGCGCAGACAATCTTGGTGTAATTTATAAGGGTATTGAATAGATTTTTTATTTAACTATCTACATACAATTTATAAATGTGTAATTGATAACCAATAAAATGACAATGAGCTGATATGACGGAATAACATTTCATTAGCCAAATACAGTAAAAAACTGGTATGGTTAATAAATCAGAGTCCATATGCCTCAAATGAAAAAATAAGAAATCATGATCAGATAAATAAAAACTATTACTTTATATTCACGAAAAACAATTCAGCAATATTAAAACTACTCTATTAAACGAACATGTACAAATAATAGATGTATGCCAAATTCAACAAACTGGTTTCAAACTAATCAGAATTGACAGTGATAAATATACATGTATATATAAACTGAAACTACATCCATCTCCTGTTTAACTTTCTCTATGATAACATGAAACATAAAAAAGAGATAGTTTATAAGAGTTTATACTTTCCAGTTACTGACATTTCGAACTGAACAAATCCTCAGTAACAAACAGGCTCTCCTATTAGTCATTGTTCTAAATATTACCAACCTTTTTTAAAGCGCAATAATAATGAACCGATCAATGCTATACCACAATTTAAAACTTGAAATTACTAGATGATAGTTTCGTCCTATTATGGAACTTCTCAGCAGTGCACATCTCACGACCTCACATGCGCAAATCGATCTCGCGCACGAATGCCTAACTTCTAGACCACTAAGCTAGAATCCAACTTTATTTATTTTTAACTCCAATCAATCCATGATATTGCATGGTCATATATATATATATATATATATATATATATATATATATATATATATATAATATCAAGACATCTATTCGTACAACTTATATTCTAATGTAGATTTATCAAATAGTCCCTTGAATATCAACAGCGAGAATGTACAAATCCTTACAAATTATAAAATGTCATACTCAACGAATAAGTTGGTGACTGATGGATAATAAATTTTGGAATTATGATAATTTGGTGAAAATCGAAGAATTAGGATTTAGATTTATCTAGTTGACGAGTCTTGAATAGGGAATGGGTGAATACTTGTACTATATTCATTTCTCAGCTTC